ATGAGCAGATTATTCTACAAAACTTCTATACAAATTCTATAATAATTTCTAATTGGGGTTTTAAATTTCTTGCATCAATCTGTCTCTTCTTCGTGATAACGACGAAAGTGTATAAGATGTTGCACTGTTATCCTTAATAATAAAATTAGCTTTAAAACAATGTGTATTAAAAATTTTTTTGTAAATGTTGCACAAGCATTATATCAAAATCTATTAATAATGTATATTTCTCATTATATTGATTTCTCGTTTTGCCTAATTTATGTAATCGTGGAAAAGCAATGAAATCTTAAGAAAGATCCGGAGAACTGTGTGCATACACAATGGTATCAGAATATTATAGATACGCATTACAATCTCTCGAGATGAGAACAACGAGAAAGATCACTTAAACTTGTTCAAAAAGATTTAATTAAATGTGTAACTTCTTAAGCGCATTTCACAGAAATTACAGCGTAAATAACAATCTTATGTACAATCTATGACATCTGTATTATCGACAGCTTAACTGCAAGTAACCCTTGTTTCTTGATTTATATGTGAATTCAGTGTTTGCTAAGCTTTCATCCAGATAAGACGTTCCATTTACTGCTTTATAATAAAGTGTAAACTATTTCTAAGGTATAATTGGAGACAAAAATGGAGAATATTTCCATCCGTTTTTTATTTTGACGACGGAAAAATTATTAAAAAAGTACGTATATATTTTTACAACAAATTTCTTTTAAAATGCAATTAAGAAGTTTTTCTCAGAAAAATTAATTAAGTTCATTTTTTATGTTGTGAGCTGTACTGTCCTATCAGATTTTTAAAAACCTAACTTAATTATTTGCATGGAAAGAATAATTTTGCCCAAAAAAACCTTAAGTTTAGTTGGATAAAGATCTAAAAATAATTTTATAGAACTCCAAAATAATTATGTTAAAAAATCAAACTGGTTGCTACAATAGAATATCAAAATTTTTCGCAGCATTGCTCATCAATATTTCTGATATAATTATTTTCTGTATCCAGTTAAATTTTAGATTTTTCAGCAAAATCGTTCTGTCCGTGCAAATAATCCATTTTTTTGTATGATCATCGATCGGGGAACCCCACAATTAAAGATGATAAGGACATAATAAAAAAAAAGAAAGTTTTATAACGTTATCAAATCTCAATATGTAAAAAAACGCGTTATCTTGCCAATCGAATAACATAAGGTGTGGTATTAATTCAGTCTGATAATTTGTACAAAATTCCGATGCAAATTAGAAAAGATGATTTGCATCCAATCGGATAAATTTCGTTGTAAGACTTAATTGAATCGGATTTGCGATATTATAATTATATAATGTCGTCGATAATTTCGTTTTAAACGCAATAATGTAAAAATAATGTTTCCGCTCAACCTTTTGCAATGTGACAAATAACTGGAACGTGAGGACCGTTCTAATTATCTTATCTTAAGAGTCAGGGCAAGTGATAAAAATTATATACAAAATGACTTCAGACATATATATCTAATATGTACTCGCTCAAAGTTTCTTTTTGCGTGACGTTAATATAAGCGGTTCCACGAATAACTGTAAAAATTGTTATTACGACCCGAATGTTTATGTCTCATTATGCAGTCAGCCGAATAGTAGTTTTATGATTCAAGTAACTGAAAACGAATATATTTTGTTTACGGCATCGAATTATTAATCAGATACTCATCCGTCGAATTTCTCTCTTATCCTGAAACGAAATGTAATGTTGTCTTCGGCGAGACTTTCATAAAATTCAAAGGTAACTATTAATTTGCTGGAAAACGATTTAAATCGAGCAAAACTATCCAAATCCATCAATTTAAATTTCTAATATCAATTCTATAAAAAAATTTGAGACATATAGTCTTTTTATCATATTATATTATCAGATCAACTGTTTATCATTATTATCATTATTTATCATTATTATCTTAATGTGTTAATGAATATTAATAAGCAGCTAATTTATTTAATTACGGCAAAAAAAAGTTGAAGTTTCCAATAGAAAGCCGATGATTTAATTCTGTTGATAAATATATGTATAAATATATGATAAATTTTTTATTAAATTGATCAAGTTATATAATTAATTTAATATCCATTTTTAAGTTCGCTAATTTATTACTCTGCTTTTATTTATCGAGGCCACACTAATTACAAACTAATTACATTTTTCAGGATATATGTCACCTGAATATCCATTAGTGATTAGTCAAACAGTTATCCGAAAAACTTTCTTGGAACGCTAGTGGTATCATTTAGAAATCAGTATAACGCTCTAAGTACGTTTCGCTCCATAACTTTTTAAATAATGACCGAAAGAAAATTAAACATTATCCGTTTTGTAAGATAATTAAATTATATAATATATAAAATCTATATCTCAATAATTAGATCTCATAAAATCATGTCATTTTCAGTCGTTTTAAATTTTACAATAAATTTTTCATTACACAAACAAATATTTTCTTTTAGCATTAATATAAGATCGTGGAAAAAAAACGATTATTTATTATACTCTATCTTGTGCCGAAGAGTATCTTTGTAAACGATAAAAGGAAGAACAACTTCAAATTAAATATAACACATATAGGAATAAATATAAGAATGGATAATGTAGGTACTATCCATCATAATAATTCGAAAGTTGAAGTAATTTTATTAACATTCTTACTAATTTTATAAATTATATTTTAATCGTAGTAATCTAAATTTTCATGTGTAGATAATCGTGAACGTACCCATAGATATTCTTCTCAAAAAAGGGATGAACTACATTAAGCAGAACAAAAAATCTATAATTAAAATTCCTAATTTAACGAAACAAACATACAACATAAGACCTGGAATCACATGTTGTTTCGAAACAGATAATGCAATTCTTAAGTAAGCACAGTTATTTCATAATGCAATCGAGAAAATTAATATGTATTTTTTATATACAAGATTGAATTATCTACTTCAAGATAATTAACTTTTCAGAGATATTTCGACTCTGAAAAGGACGGAAGATATAATTATATCTAACATAGGACAAACATATACTATACAAGCTAGCTTTGGACTTCCCACGGCTAAGATTAAGTGTAATTATTATAAGGTATGGTCCATAAATTATTAAACATTAATGATTATAAAATATTGAGCATAAAAATATTTAACTTTTTTCAAAATTAATACTTGTCATAATACACTTAATACACTCTTAATACACAGCTTACAGTTAATGGCTTAACAGTTAGTGGCAATGTACTCGCAACTGTTGACGGATTAGCAATAGCGATAAAACTGGTTATTACTAATAATGAAACATGCTGGATAAATTTGGAGTACGTTAAAGTAACGGAATTTGGCAAAATCAATCTAGAAACGTCTGATTTAGCATCACTTAATGATTTAATATCCAGCCATTTGACTCAGTGGATAGAAAAAGAGTGGCAAGAGAAAATTCAAAAACAACTTCAAAATATCCATAAATATAAAGAATATGGATATAATACAGCTTGTACTATTTATCCTAACAATCCGAACACAGTAATTTCATTAACTTTTTTATTAACTTTATTAATTATATTTCATTTGTAGTAATCTAAATTTTCATGTGTAGATAAATATGAACGTACCCGTAGATATTCTTCTCAAAATAGGGATGAACTACATTAAGCAGAATAGAAAATCTATAATTGAAATTCCTAATTTAACGGAAAAAACATACTACTTAGGACTTGGAATCACATGTTATTACGACGCTTATAACGGAACCTTCGAGTAAGCACTGTTATTTCATATACATAATACAATCCAAAATTTAATGTATATTTTTTGTACAACAATATTGAATAATCTACTTCAGCAACATAATTAACTTTTTAGAGATATTTCGACTCTGAAAAGAATGGAAGATATAATTATATCTGACATAGATAACGAAGGACAAATGTATACCATAAAAGCTGGCTTTAGACTTCCTACAGCTAAACTTAAGTATAATTGCTATAAGGTAAGTTCATAGATTTTTAGATATTCATGATTACAAAATATTAAGCATAAAAACATTCAACTTTTTTCAAAATTAATATTCGTCCTAATACACAGCTTACAGTGCTTGGTTTCATCAAAATCAGTGGTGATGTAATTGTAACTATGGATGGATTAGCAATAGCGGTAAAACTATTCATAAACAATGAATGTACCCATAATATGTACCCATACACAATGGTACAGTACGTCCAAGTGACTTGTGCTCGCAAAATCAACATAAAAATAACTGGTTTAGGACCACTTAATACTTCCATTTCCAACCTAATCATTCAGAAGATTACAGAGTCGCAAGAGAAAATTATTAAAAAGATTGAAGATTACGTCAAGGATTTTATTACAGAACAATTAAACAATTAAAATGAATTTATTTGTATAAAGTAATGATGTTTGAAATATTTCCCTAAATTATAATTACACAAATCTTATAAATTAACACAATATTTCGTTAATTCAAATCTTCAATCTTTCAAATGCTTGTCGCATAAATCTGAAAAAATGTATATAGTATACGAATGTAAAGTATAATATTTTATGTACATTCAATTTTTATTCAATATAAATTCATCGTTATTATGCCAAGAATTTTATAAAATATCGACACCTTTTGCAAATATAAATAATGACTCTTATTATATTATAAGGCAAAGTTAATAGTAACTGTATAATAAACCAAAAATTTTATGTATCTAAACATTCTATTGTTCTCAAATATTTTATATAATATATATAGCAATATACATTTGTCCGTATAATTTTTGGAAAATGTCTATTTAAAAATGCACTTGTTAAATCAATAAAATTTTAATGGATTAATTAGGTTGTGTATCATTTCTTGTATCAACTATTTCTTCTGGTTTGGCAACATCTTCAGAAATTACAACTTTTTGTGCGTCATTATCTGTGCATTCTTGACGGGAAGAAATATTTGTATCTTGCTCTAAAATTTCTTTTGCTTCAATATCACTGTTAGAATTACTAACTGCAGGATTATCTTGCACAGTATTATTATTAATATTACTGGTACTATTACATTGTACTTGCGTGGTAGTATTAATGTTACTAATATTTGCATTTAATGCACGCTTCAAAGCCAAATATTCCTCCACCGATCCTGTTGGAGCCTTTTCAAACGTAACAGCTGTATCAGATGTCGATGGCTGTGCAGATAAATTTGAATTCGGCGATTTACTCAGCTTGGATAATCTCTGACGTTCCCTCAAACGTTTCCGAATCTCAGACTGTATCTTCGATTCTTTTATTACATTTTGAACGTCATCAGTCTGATAATAACGCGAGGCCCAAGTTTCCGTTGAGTTCGATTTTGGCAAAGTGGTTTCGAATACAGACTGTTCATTTTCTTGCTGAGAAGAGACGGTAATTTTATCTTGACTTTTATCGTCATCGCTGTTTACTATATCCATGACTTCACAGTAATCATCTAAATCAATATCATCTATATCTGTCGATCTCTCCTCTTCGACTTTGCTCTCTTCTCCTACTTTCTCTTTTATCTCATCTTCTTTCGCAACGATAATTTCGTTTCCTTCGTCAGAAGGGTTTATTTTCAATTTAACCTTAATAGGTTTATTATTTGACTTCTCAGAATCAGTGATATTAATCTGTTTTGATTCTGAAGAGTTTGTAATAGTAGAGGCAAGTTGTAATCTTTCACGTGACTTTTTCTTCGACTTTTTTCGCCGCTCGGCAACATTATTCGCAGAAATCGATATTGATAATATATTGTTTTTTATATCTACGTTCCTGTCGGGCATTATCACTTCGCTTGTATTAGTTAAATGTGTTCTACTTGCGGTATTTGTGTTACTATGTATCTCTATTATTTCTTGAGTTCCTTTTCTCTCCTTCGAATCTTGAGAGCTGGTTTTGATAGAATTTTCATCCGAATTGCTCGCGGATTTTCCAGCTTTCGACGCGCGATCGTTTTTCAACTCTTGATTTTCTTGCGCTTCTTCCCTGTCACTATCGCTAGACAATAACTCGACAACTGGAGCCGGTTGAGGAATTACTAAAACAACATCTTCGTCTTCGCCTTTACTACTTTGCTGAGAACCGATAATTCTTTCCAATTGCTTGCGACAGTCCTCCTTCGCTTTGTCATCTTGAGCTGTCCCAATTTTATTTTCCGTTGCTTGACTGTCATTTGTTTCCGACGGATTAACAAGAACTACATCTTCCTCTTTTCTTATCAAGGCTCTTATTGCGCGAGCCCGCATTTCTAGCTCTAATAAGTCTAATAAGCTGTCACCTTCTTTTCCCTTGCTATCTTTATCGTCTTCCTTTTTAATTTGAACATCTTCAGTTTTATCATTATTTTCGCTTTTAATGTTAGATTTTAATTTAACATTAGACGTATTTAACTTATTTTTCTTATTAACTTGTGCTTTTCCTTTAACTTTTGTTTTGTCCTTTTTTAACTTTCCTTTCCCACCGCTCTCCTTTTTGGACGTATCGTCATCGGTTAACCACTCCTCCGTATCAGAAATGATTTCTAATGAAGGTCCTATCCAGACAAAATATAAATGAGCAGATTATTCTACAAAACTTAAATTCTATGTCATAATACCCAGTATTATTTATATACCTGAATCATCAGAATATTCGCTTGTATCTGAGGATTCCAACATAGGTTTGTCATTTATTATAGATAATATTCGAGCTTTAGACATGCCATTTAACTCACTCCCACACCATTCCTCGAGTTCACTTAACTCCATTTGCTATATAAATTAAAAATAACGTATATTTACTTGAAAGAATTTTCAATTACTAGCTTAAGTATCTCACGCTGCGACTCACTTTAAGAGCCTGCGGTAGCATAAGACGAATCTTTTCCGGTTTGACAGATTTAAAAAGCTGTCGGGCTAATTCTTTACGATCAGATATATAATCCCTAATTGGTTTTAAATCTCTTGCATCAATCTCTTCGTCGTCTGATGATAATGACGAAGATGTGTAAGAAGACGCACTGCTATATCCCTAATACAATGAAATTAGCATTGAAACAATATGCACTAAGAATTTCTTTTGTAAAACTTTCCCAATTTAAAATAAGATAGTCTTTTTTTATAAATATCATTATCGATAAGTGACTACCTTGTTGTTGCCTATGCTGTTTTTACTCTTAGACATGTTTTGTTGTTTAAGAAATTATTCCTTCAATCTAAAAATCCTTCAATTTAAAATACCAATGAGCACCAAAATCAAAATTTAATTAACTTGCAAAACAATCCCTTTCAGATACTCTCATCTGAAAAATGTATGTAAGATTAATAGGTTAGACCTCTCACAATCCTGTTATATCAGTTTATATTTTGTGTCAAAAACAAAATACATGTTCACGTAGAAGGGAAACGAGAAAATAAAGTTACGTAGGCAGTTCTATAAAATGCAATTACAAGAAGCGAATTTAATAAAGAGAATGAATCAATGATACCTGCTTCTAGGTTAGGTTACTTTAGCCAATGTATCGACACGCAACTAATTGATCACGTTTCAGTAGTCACCATTCATGATTGTAAAAAATACTTCATTTACTCAACTACAACGTAATAGTACAGCTTACTTCTTGCAACAATTATAAAACATAATTCTCGTACTGTCGGCAATTTTTGCCTGCTCTTTGTTTACAACCGTGGCAGCGCGATTTAAGCGCGCCATCGCTCGGAGTACTCGGCAACGACAACGCCGCAATCCGATCAAGATTTATCGAAGGCGTCGTGCAGATGTCGCTAAATGTCACTAAACGCGTCTACGCTCATGCGAGAGAGCGTTCGCATTTTATGCAAGCGCACGAGATATCACTTTATCCTTGTTAAACCATTCAGTGGACAAGGATGAAAAGATGCATCATGAGTATCATGCATAAAACGGAACACATTCTCGGAGGCAATTTAAATTTATATATTAATTAATCCTACAGCCCGTCCATTTCAAGACAATAAATCTATGAAATGTTACATAATTATCCAGTCACGAATTACACCTAACCTGTAATATGGATTCATTAATCTCATCGTACGTAATTAATAATTGTTAATATAAATTAAACACATACCGATCGGCGCCGGCGATGTCCTGCCCGGTGAATCTGCCTCCCTGCAGCTGAAAAGACACATCATAAATGAGCGTCATGCATAACACGGAACACATTCTTGGAGACAATTTAAATTTATATATATTAATTAATTATCCTATAGCCCGTCCATTTCAAGACAATAAATCTACGAAATGTTACATAATTATTCAGTCACAAATTACACCTAACCTGTAATGGATTCATTAATCCATTATCTCATCGTAATTGTTAATATAAAAATACATACCGATCGCGGCGCCGGCGATGTCCTGCCCGGTGAATCTGCCTCCCTGCAGCTCTCTCGTCCTCGTCGCAAGTCCAGCTGCGCTGCATGCATCCATCCTCACGAGGCAACACTCGCGGAAACGCGACCGAGATACCGAAATAATTGTCACGACACCACAATCGCGATACTTTATTACATTCCCGAAACGAAACGATCGACGCTTATTGTAATAGCGTTCTCGCGTTACTCAAGTCCGACGATTCGCCGAGGAAACTCGCGATCGCGTCGACAACTTCACACCGACGCCGCGTCGCGCGGATACGACACGAGTCGAATTTAGCAGCCGATTGAATCGAGCGAGCCGTCCGAAAATGTACACTCGAGACCGTTAGCGACGTAACTGCGGACGCGTAAATTCCGCGACATGCAAACGCAATTATAAACGGTAGACACACATTACGTTGCACCTGAACGCGTTACTTAAATCAACTCGATCCATATCAACGTGAATCACGCGAATCGACGATCACAGCAATGATCGGCCGCGTCGCGTCGTTCGACGATGAGAAAATAGGCGGACTTGCAGAGAGATGATCGCCAATTATTATCATATTATAAATCATTCGCCGCCGCTTGTCAAGTATACATGCTATAGCTTTCCCGCGCGGCGTCCGTTCTCAAATTAATGAATAATCAGAATGCGCGACGCGAAATGCGCTCGAATTCGAATCTCTTTCAGGAAATATAATCGTCATCCGCCAAGCAAAAATCGCGACAAAACGTTAATCTATTTCGATGCCCTCCTCACCTCGATCTCCAGGAGAGATTCACGAGGTATTTTCCCCGCAATGAACGCCACGAGCGATTCGGCGCGTTCATTAATCGCGCGAATAACGAAAAAGCAATAATCAATCGCGTAGCTGACGCGTAATTCAATGATTCAAGAGAACGATGTATATTGATCTGATATCTGTAATATCGTCGTGATATACATACCGCGGCGCGTTGCGCGACGTAATAATATTTAACACACGGAGCGGCTCGCTCGGCTTGCCGGCTATCGGCGTTCAGCTCGAGCGTCGCGACGGAAATGATGAGATTGATGAGCGCGCCGCGCGCGGCGTTTCCACGCAAATATATGACGCGATGCAGCGCGCGATACGAAAGCAAGTATACAAGCGCCGCGCGCCAAGGAAATGTAACGTCGTTTACCCATTCGTTACTGGAAAAAAATAATTGTAATGGTAACAACGTCACAAGTAACGCGTTACTTGCCAACCCTGCAGTGAGAAAACGTTGCGAAAATTGAAAAATATATCTAATATATATGTAACTTTTCATTGTCGATAATAAAGTATGTACCATGTGGTATGTAGTGATCTGATGTCGGTAAAATGATCGTGTTTGTTATCCTCGGTGCAGCTAGAATAGTTGGTAATGTCATCGTTCTTCAATTATCCCTGTACTCATTTGACAGTTACGAAAGTTTGTCCTTTGGGGTCCCGGCCGTCTTTATCGTGAGACACGGTCGTGTCTCGGCGCTAAAGAGGTGTGCGTTGGACCGGACCGTACTGTCTCTTTACGCGAGCCGGTTTAATAATCCTCGTCGGTGATACATACATATATATATACATATATATGTATATATCACCGTAAATATATATATATGTATATATATATATTATATATTTTTTCCTATCTCGATACAATATTTTTGTTTTCTGCATGTGTCGCAATATTAATTATTATCTCCACCTACTTAAAATGTTTACCTACTTTCCTACTTGAAATATCCAATTAGAAGATTGCAAGGAAATTAATTAAATTGAAGACATCGCGTGTCGCAAAGCTATGAATACCAGTTCATGTATATGTTGCATACACCGATACACCAACATTATAGCCAATGTAATAGTAGCTTTCATCGACCATACATATCGTCATCTTTATTCCCTTTTACACATAAGCTAAAATCATACATCGTGCAAAAACGGAGCGCACTCTTGGAGACAATTTATATGCGATAAATAAGTAATTAATAGCAGTCTAGTATAGTATATATAACGTATAAGTGTATGTCTGGGATCGTAAGACACTGGCGAGATTTATTGCTAAAAGGAATTAAATCATCTAAAGCATATAAATTTTATTTTTGAAAGTTAGAACAAGTAGGTCATTCGTGACTTTCAGAGACACATTCTAGAAGATCCATTATTAATTAAATTATTATTAAAATTAATTATCTCAATCTGACGACTAAAATATATTTTATTGTTTTCCCTCGGAATTTCCTATATATTCTTTCGATAATTTATTTATATTTGAAAACTACGATAATGTCATCTGAGACATGAAATGAGATATACGTCTCTTAGCTATACCTCCTCGCCGATTTTCAGCTGAAATTCTCAGGCGAGCCGAGAAGTTATCCCAGCACGCGTGTAAGCAACATAATATAACTGTACTCATACATCATCAACAAACACCGACGGTCGTTAGAGGTCGGCGTGGCGTGCATTCGAGCGAGAACTCGAGGCAGAAATGGCGGAATTAGATCATGAAACGTTCGCATGACGCACTCTCCGCGAGATAACGAGACAACGAGAATTATCTAGATATTCTAGCCGCGAGGACGAGGTATAATTGCGGAATTATGCGGCGAAGGATCGATCCGCGCTCTCGCGCGAGGAGCTTGATCGGCGTCCCCAATAATCGTCCTGCCCTCGCGTCAGACGTGACTCCGTTCCGTGGGCGAGTTTCCGTTCTGCCAAAAAAAGAAATGACCCCGGGAGAGAAACGATTCGGCCGTGCCTCGGGAAAGACACGGCCCATATATGGTCCAATTGAGACGCGGAACGACCGTTTCACACCGTACCCCTGCCCTGCCCCTGGCAACAGAACGAAATGGGATGGGGGATTCCGTCCTAGTCCCGCCGGGGCCCCCCTTTCCCCCCGTCCCGTAATTCGGGATTCGATCGCGCGTGTTTCTCGAATTACCGAGTCGCGGAGAATCGTCTCCTCGACGGACGGGAGATAATTCGAACGAGCGTCGTCCTGCGTAAACGGACTACATCGTCGTCCCCGCGCGCGGTGGAGTAACGGCGATCGGGCGTGATGAGTGCTGCGGTCCTGTGGCGCGGCCGGCCAATCGTCGCGCGGCACGGCGTCACCGCCGGCCAATCGGCGCGCGCTGGAACGGTCGATTCCAGCGGGTATAAATTGCGCGCAGTAGGCGCCGCTCGCCCAACAGTCGTCCCTTGCTGGTCGCCGATCACACGTCGCGTAGTTGTTAGAAGCTCCATTACTTGCTTTTGCCAACTATATCGATCGCCCCGTGTGGTGACCATCTCCAGCTCCGTTTTCTAAAGAGGACAAGGAACAGCCCGTGATACAAAATGGTGAGTCGCCAATGAATTTATCGAGTTTTTGGCCCTCGCGATCAATCGACGCGCGTGTCGGCGGCATCGCCCATTCTCCGCATTCAACGACACGCGACGGCCATTTTGTAACGGTTAAACGCCGGCCGGTTTGCTAAATTTAGATCGCATCGCCCCGCCCGGCCCGGCCTTTGTCCGATAATGCGAATATTCCGTGTCGTCGCGTGTCCGATCAATTCTCCGCAAATTTCTGCTGCTCGAAGAAACAATTATATATGTGTTGGCGTCCCCCGTGGCGCAACGTCTGAATATTCAAATTTTCCGTGAGCGTTGAAAAGCCATTGACCTCGATGAGCTGTCCCGGAAAATCAATAGGGACGCTTCGCACTCGGTGAGCGTCGATATATTGTCGCCAAGGTACGACGACGCTGATGCACGTCCGTTTGATTCGTTTTTTTTAGCGTGAGTGTATCTCAATCCACGTTGGACAAGCCGGCGTTCAGATTGGTAATGCCTGCTGGGAGCTGTACTGCCTGGAACATGGAATCCAGCCGGACGGTCAGATGCCGTCCGACAAGACTATCGGAGGTGGAGACGACAGCTTCAACACCTTCTTCAGCGAGACTGGTGCCGGCAAACACGTGCCCAGGGCCGTCTTTATTGATCTGGAACCAACTGTAGTCGGTACGTGTGCTTTGTCCCCTCTACGTGTGACACTCTGTCTGACATTTGACGCTTGATAAATTTTACTTATATTTTTAATCGTGTTGCGCTTGCAGATGAGGTTCGCACTGGAACTTATCGCCAGCTCTTCCACCCGGAACAACTGATCACCGGCAAGGAGGACGCTGCGAACAACTATGCCCGCGGTCACTACACGATCGGCAAGGAGATCGTCGACCTCGTGCTGGACCGCATTCGCAAACTCGCCGATCAGTGCACCGGTCTGCAGGGTTTCCTCATCTTCCACTCGTTCGGCGGCGGCACCGGTTCGGGTTTCACGTCCCTGTTGATGGAGCGTTTGTCCGTTGACTACGGCAAGAAGTCGAAACTCGAGTTCGCCATTTATCCCGCACCACAGGTCTCCACCGCCGTGGTCGAGCCGTACAACTCCATCCTGACGACGCACACCACTCTCGAGCATTCCGACTGCGCGTTCATGGTCGACAACGAGGCGATCTACGACATTTGCCGCCGCAACCTGGACATCGAGAGGCCGACCTATACGAATCTGAATCGCCTGATCGGCCAGATTGTGTCGTCCATCACGGCCTCGCTGCGATTCGACGGTGCCCTGAACGTCGATCTGACGGAGTTCCAGACCAACTTGGTGCCCTACCCGAGAATCCACTTCCCCCTGGTGACGTACGCGCCCGTTATCTCGGCCGAGAAGGCCTACCACGAGCAGCTCTCCGTTTCGGAGATCACGAACGCCTGCTTCGAGCCGGCGAATCAGATGGTCAAGTGCGACCCGCGTCACGGGAAGTACATGGCCTGCTGCATGCTCTATCGTGGCGACGTCGTACCCAAGGACGTCAACGCGGCAATCGCTACCATCAAGACGAAACGCACGATTCAGTTCGTCGACTGGTGCCCGACCGGTTTCAAAGTCGGCATCAACTATCAGCCACCGACCGTCGTACCTGGCGGCGACCTCGCTAAAGTCCAGCGCGCCGTCTGCATGTTGTCCAACACCACTGCCATCGCGGAGGCCTGGGCCCGTTTGGATCACAAGTTCGATCTGATGTACGCCAAGCGTGCATTCGTGCACTGGTACGTCGGCGAGGGTATGGAGGAGGGAGAGTTCTCCGAGGCGCGCGAGGATCTTGCCGCGCTCGAGAAGGATTACGAGGAGGTCGGAATGGATTCCGCGGAAGGCGAGGGCGAGGAGGGCGCCGAGGAGTACTAAGATGCGATTCAAGTCGCTCGCCCTTTTGTCGCAAGGCTTTGAAATATCTTCATGTGTTTTGAAATAAAGTAACTGAATCCATTTGCAACACAAATTTTCGTCTAATCGATACATCCACCTCTCTGTCCTAAATCATGATTGAGTAAATTTATTTAGATAACTATCGACTGCGCTAAAAATCAATCTGCAGCTTTCAACGTTTCGAGAAAACTAATTTTTTTTACACGATTTGTACATGTCATAATTAATATAACTTGCATAAAAAAGTTTATCTCGAACTTTATCTCTAAAAGTTTCGAGATATTACATATGTTGAATCTCTTATTCAAAAGATAAAATACTCTTGTCTTTCACAAATAAAATATAACCTTTTATATATAAAGAGGAAATGATAATTGAATATGATACTGTTGAAAAAATGTATATTTTGCAATATTCTTGTTTGCAACAACGATTCTGTGATTTGTAGAGGACTCGTACATGTTCATATACAAATATATGATCCTTCAAATTTAATTAAAATAACTACAATACATTCTGTAAAAAGATAAATTCTAACTATGTTTATCTATTAACTGTTTTTTTAAGAAGACATCCAATAACAATAGTGTGTAAATTTAAGAATCAAATCTATAATTTAGCAACATCCATTCAATCATATTCCAAATAATTCAAATAGAAATCTTCATCGTGGTTAAATTCTCGTCTTCTGAATAATCCAGATATTCAGCATGAAAATCGAAATCTAGTTTATAAAAATTTTATCTAGAACTTTATTCTATCTCTATGAAAGTTTCAAGATATTCATTACATATGTTGAATCTTTTATTCAAAAGGTAAAATACTCTTGTCTACAAATAAAATATAACCTAACCTAACATATAAAGAGGAAATGGTAATGAATATGACGCTGTTGAAAAAATAATTGTATATTTTGCAATATTCCATTTTACAACAGCGATTCTGTAATTTGTAGAAGACTCGTATATGTTCATATACAAATATTCACATGATCCTTCAAATTTAATTTAATTAAAACAACTACTAATATATTCTGTAAAAAGATAAATTCTATCTAACTATGATTATCTATCAACCGTTTTCTTAAGAAGACATCCAATGATAATTGTATGTAAATTAAAAAATCAAATCTATAATTTAGCAACATCGATTCAATCATCATATTCCAAAAAGAAATCTTCATCGTGGTTAAATTCTTCGTCTTCCGAATAATAATCCAGATATTCAGCATGAAAATCGAAATCGTCGTCGTCGTCCAGTTCGTCGGGTATCATCCCGCGATATAACATGTTGAAACACTTGGAGTCTGGATTTCGAAAGTGTAAGTAAGGCGCCTCGGGATTCAGCCGCGTGCCGCACAGCCAACAGAAGTACGTGCCGCAATGCGAACATGTCATCTTGTTGCAGCCGTCCGATTTCTGAAACAGTTCGCCAAAATCAATGTAATCACTCGAATAGCAAGATGTGAGATTACCCTAATAATCTCGTGTCTACAAGTGTGATTCTATACCTCGATTGCGGTTTTGCAGTGAGGACAATTGTGACTATTATCATTAATCCAATTCTCAGACATTGTGTTCTCCAATATCGTTTTAAGCTGTTTCTTGCCGTAATGCTTTTCCATTTCGGCCTTCTTCTCGTTACTGGCTGATTGATATTCATTCAATAATCGTTGTTTCTCAGCTATAAATGAAAGCAACATTACATATTAATGTTACATAGAATATAACTAGTTCTAATTAAGGTTTTTTGTTTAGAACAAAATTAATTGTAAGTACAAAAAGCAAATAGCTCTCATTACATGCAGAATGCAAATATTTGACACATCCACATTCAATAATCGTTGTTTCTCAGCTATTAATGTGAAATCAATACTATATATTAATATTATATAGAATGTAACAAAAGTTCTAATTAAGGTTTTTTGTTTGGAACAAAATTAATTGTAAGTGGTAAAAAAAAGCAAGTAGCTCGTTATATGTAGAATGCAAATATTTGGCACATCCACAGGATTTAGAGGATTTAACGGTGGATTTATAGCACATACCTGAGCTAATTTTGCAGGGTTCTACACCATGATAAACCATCTTGCAACGAACGCAGAATGCATATTGGCAAACGGGACACCTTGCCATATTATCGTCGGGATCGCGGGTGACTGGATACTGACAGTGTCGTCTCGGACAGTAAACTATATCCTTCATAGTATCTAACGTAGTACTTAACAATAAGGAATCATACTTTGAGAACAACTCCGAACTTACCAAGTCCTTTATCTACGACAAAAGTCAACAGAAGTCACAAATGCGTTATTACATGTAATTGTCAGGGTAAACGCGAATGTATAAACTCAAATACAATTAGCGTAATATGGCAACGAAATAGTCACCTGGCCGGGCGTAGCCTCAAATTTACACCTCTCTTCGGGGCAACAAATATTCTGTACATTCCCGTCTGTGATCTTCACCTCGAAGTAACCTCTGACGCAATCTTTGCAGAAGGTGTGGGCACAGGGCAGGAACTGCGTGCAATGCTCCCCCGACTTGTCGGTGAAGCAGATACTGCACGTGTAGAAGTTCTTCTTGAACTCGATCTGCTTCCGCTTCTCATTGTAATCGACCAACATCTGGATGGGGTTCCTGCCGATTGGACAGTCCAGAATGGCACGCTTGTCGATGACGCCGGTCTTCCTCGACGCGCCGCCCTCCCGGCCGGCCTCGCTGTTGCCCTGCTTGTTGTTAGGCTCGCTAGTCTCCTTGTTCGCCTGCGGGTTGCCCTGCAACCTCTCCACCGTCCTCTTGTAAGACGTGTACATGCAATCCATGTCCAGACGGTCCTTTATCTTCAGGAAGCCGAGCGTTTTGTCCTGAAGGAACTCCACCCACGTGAACAGGATCTCCTGCCTGCCGCTCTCCCATAGCGCGTCGAGCTTCCTGCATAGCTTAGACAGCACTATGGGGTACAGCCAGGACGAGCACAGCATGAACGTGGGCGCCGACGTGGACGGATAGTCCTCCGGCAGCGTGACGTGCAACGTCAACGGCGGTAGATACGATATCTGCACCTCCTGCGCCAGCTCCGCCTCGTGTCGCAGATCCCTGTACGACAGGCGACATTTCGCCGGCAGATTCACGAATATCTTCAAGGTGCATTCGAACCGACCGTTCTCCTCGTGGTACGAGAACTCCTCCTCGGTGTAGATGCTTTCCAACGCGGTGACCTCGTCCTTCTGTTTCTCGTAGTCCATCGACGACTGAAAAAACACAAAGCCAATTACCATGTGGAGTTGCGTGTGTGTGTGTGTGTGTCGCGCGATAAATTTTCCTCACCCTGGTGACGGGCGGTGGAGAGTCTCCTACTCACCGAATCTGAAGGCTCGGAGCGCCGTTAAGCGTGCTACGTCAGGCAAGTGTCAATCGTGACGCACTTTGCGATCCTCCGGGCTGTCAAAAACGGTGCATAATGTTGCGTGATGTTGCGGACGACTGCTCGAGCGCGGTGAGGGGGAGGGTTATGTGCTGGTCGGAGCAATTTCACGTTTGTTCCCCCGAACGCGGCTGCGAATCTGTCGGCGCGGGTGTGTATCACGCGGCCTGCCCGATTGCGAAAAATTGTGAAATGCCCGGCGAGACAGGGCAGCGGAAATCTTGTACGTGAACTCTGCTCGGGGCATAAACACACAACGAAACTTGCGTGCTCACATCCACCGCGCCGACCGCCGACTGCGCTAGTGGCTACAGTGCGCTGCGCGTAGCGCTGTGAGTGTGCAAAGGCACTCGACCCTTGCTCGACAACCTGACTCGAGGATTTGTATTTTATTTTATCGCGTTTAATTATTTTGTTGATAGCCTGCGGTAAAATCTCTTGCTACATGTTTTGTAATACCTCATTTAAGAAACATATTTTTATATCATTTTACGATACGAAAGATAAAAATGTATAAAAGCATATATTATAATAATTATACTATATTAAATAATATAATTATTATTGTGTAAAATTAATTTAATGAAATGTAAAAATAGTAATGAAATAAACTGTTATTATATATTAATTATGCTTCCTAAATGCGACGCTATATATTATTATAAACCCATATATAAGCAAGAGATTTTACTGAAGAATATCAATAAAATAATTAAACGCGATAAAATATAATTATAGTAAAAAAAAATAAGATACAAATTCAGTAAGAAAGAATTAAGCAGAGATTTTTATCTACAAGAATATTGATGACGTATATAATATTATTATTGCGTACAATTAAAGAAATATAAAAAGTAATGAAATAAACTATTATTATTATGTCTCTTAAATGAGGTATTACAAAGCATGTAGCAAGTGATTTTACTGCAGGCTATCAACAAAATAATTAAACGCGATAAAATAATTACAGCAAAAAAAAAGTTAAACAAGATACAAATTCAGTAAAAAAGAAGGAGAGAGATTTTTATTTATAAGAATCTTTTGTGTCTATATACTAAATTTCATTTCAATACTATTTAAGTATATATTTTCGCTAAATTTTTTCTCGGATATTTTTAAATATATTTTCCGGTTTTAGATTTTCTAATCGATTCCGTCAATTTTTCGAGACATTGATATGGCGATATAATATATATATTATTATAATTTTATTATTGTGTGCAGTTAATAAAATAAACTATTATTATATTATTATGTTTCTTAAATGAGGTATTACAAAGCATATAGCAAGAGATTTTACTGCAGGCTGTCAACAAAATAATTAAACGCGATAAAATAATAACAGCAAAAAAAAAGATAAACAAGATACAAATCCAGTAAAAAAGAAGCAGAGAGATTTTTATTTACAAGAATCTTTTATATCTATATTAAATCTCACATTTTAATACTATTTAAGTACAATATATTTTCGCTAAATCTTTTCTCGGATACTTTATTAATTATTTACAATGTATTTTTGATTTTAGGTTTTCCGATCGATCCCTTCGATTTTTCGAGACATCGAATATCGATACGACGACGCATATGGCGGCGTCCAGCGTCCAGGAGAGAAAAGAGTCGTGGAATGCGTTTGATAAGTGCGGTGACGATATATCATTTTACAATGACAGTGTTGGCATAACATTGGCGCGTCAAAGCCGACACGAAGGCGACGCCGGTGATATCCGTTTATCGCGGCCGTTTATCGCCCGCCGCACATCCACCGGACCCACCGGGGTCTGCGAAAGCTGAAACCGGTGTCCGGACACGCGCTACACCGTGCACATCGTCTCGACGATGTACGTCGAGAACGAGACGTGGAAGACGCTGCTCCCGATATGCGTCAACGCGGTGATGTCCGTGTGCGCGTACGGCCTGACCGTTCGCCTGATCCCGAGGCTGAAGGACATGTTCGTGAGAGCTAACCTCTACGGCATCGACATGGGCAAGAGGAGCAGCGGGAAAGTGTGAGTGAGAGGATAATCCGAAACCCCGACGCGAACCCCAGCTCGAGCACCTCCTATCGGAAGTCGGGCTGATCGACTCCACGACTTGCGTCTTTTTCAATTTTAGCGTCGGGACACGTGAATGTAACTTCAATTTTCGCCTTGCCTCTTGCACCTCGTGGAGCCGATCCAGCCCTCCGAGAGGCTCGAATACAATAAACATTTTCTTGTTTTTATATGTGTCTCTCTATCGATCGTTCTTTCTATGCACGATGATGTTTTTGGGCGTCACACGACCGTCGGTTTATTCTTGCAGACCAGAGGCGATAGGTGTTGTCACTGGATGCGTGTTCCTCGTAACAATGTTCCTATTTATTCCCGTGCCGTTTACAGATTGTATATTTAGGAACGTGAGCTTTCCGCACGACAAGGTACGGTGGCGAGTGTCAGTCGGAGAGACTGTGCAGCTTAATTTCTTTCTCAACCAAATTCTGGCTTTAGCAGATTAAACGATTAGCCTATAGCGAGCTTTGTAAATTTTGACTTACGTTATTTAATCCAAGAATACAGCATAGTAATTTTGATATTCTATATGTACTGCTAATTTTGAAACAAGTAGAGATTTACGAACGATGTGTAATTTCGATGCTTAATTTCTTTCTCACCAAATTCTGGCTTTAGCAGATTAAACGATTAGCCTATAGCGAGCTTTGTAAATTTTGACTTACGTTATTTAATCCAAGAATACAGCATAGTAATTTTGATATTCTATATGTACTGCTAATTTTGAAACAAGTAGAGATTTACGAACGATGTGTAATTTCGATGCTTAATTTCTTTCTCACCAAATTCTGGCTTTAGCAGATTAAACGATTAGCCTATAGTGAGCTTTGGAAATTTTGACTTACGCTATTTAATCCAAGAATATAGGATAGTAATTTTGATATTCTATACTGCTAATTTCAAAACAAGTAGAGATTCACGAACGACGTATAAAGCGCGAGCTTTCTATTGCAGTTCGTCGAATTTCTGGCCGCGTTACTGTCCATATGTTGCATGCTACTCCTGGGCTTTGCCGACGACGTTCTGGATCTTCGTTGGCGGCACAAATTACTTCTGCCCACAATAGCATCTCTGCCGCTACTGATGGTTTACTATGTTAACTTTAACTCGACGATAATCATCATACCGAAGCCGTTGAGGTCGTGGCTCGGCTTCTCGCTGGACCTGTGGATCTTCTACTATGTATATATGGGAATGTTGGCGGTGTTTTGTACAAACGCTATAAATATATTGGCCGGGATAAACGGTTTGGAGGTCGGGCAAAGTTTAATCATCGCCACGAGCGTCCTCGTCTTCAACGTTATCGAGTTGTTTGGCAGTCAATGGCAGGCGCATCAGTTTTCAATATACTTTATGCTGCCTTATATAGCAACCTCCCTCGCATTATTCAAATTCAATTGGTAAGTTGTACTAAAACATATTTTTTATCTAAAACAATAATTATTTCTATGAGTATACACGTGAAAGGAATCTCTTTGCATAGGGCAGAGGAATTTTAAATTTTTTTCCCACAAAACGCTCAAGTTATATGTATAAACCATTTAACATTTATATTTTCGTTCAACGTAATATTTTAGTGTATAAATTCAGTATAATATTACATTAGTGTACACTGAGTATCGAGTATGAGTTAATATCACAGTCGGGTGCGACCAGTACGTCAGTAGTAATCTAGCTTAGCGTAAAAATTCTCCACCAGCCAGTCGTACTTCCATGTGTTGTTGAGAATCGTTTCTGGCGCGAAATAGGAATCGCTGGACTTGGAGACTCTCAGAAGACCGGTTTTACCGTCCAACCACAGTCCGCTGCCTATTAGGTCCTCGATGAACGGCACGTCGATAGTCTTCTCGATATAAATCTCCTTAGACTGGACTTTATTGCGAAGACCGATAATAATATTCGCGGGGGCCTGGCACAGATTGCAGTACCACCCGCCGTAGTGATTCAAGTCACCTATGACTAATCCCAGAATATCTCTCTCGCCGGTGTCACCGTCCAACTGCTGTCGCAGCACGAGCGAGTTGGACTGATAGGCGTCGCGCATCAGACCGACGGTATACGCGCCGAGGGTGATCGTTGTCTTGAGCGGATGCTGCCAGAAGAAGCCGTATATCGACCATCTTAATCTAAACCCGATGGGCTGAGGCCAACCGTCGTAGACCTTGAGGAACATTAACGCCCTGGAGTTGAGTATCTGCTCCGGCTCCGTCGTCACGTAGATGTCGTCGTCCCTTAAATTCTGCACCACAGTCTTGATCCTGTCCCAGACGTATCTCGACACCGTTCTGAACGGCTTGTGGGACCTCGTCGCCACGTTGACGTACAGGATCTTCTTCTGCTCCCGCTGCAGCAGTCCCTTGGACAGCCTGTGCCGGAAATTGTCCTCCGCGTTGTTGAAGTCGCATATTACAAAGAGGTCCACCACGTTGTAGAGCTCCTCCACTATCACCTCGGCGATCGCCGAGTTGTAGTCGCTCAGGAAGAAGGTGTGAATCACGTGCCTGGCGGTTCTCCGTCGTTTCAGGCTGACGTTCTGCTTCGACGCCATGATCGCCCGCCACACGACTTCCGGCTGTCCGCAGTCCAAGCCGTGCCACCCCTGATTGCAGATACATCTCTCCAGATGCTCGTTGCTCTTCATCTTACGCTGATCCACTCCATACTTCCAGCACACGGTGTGATTGTACACCTCGAACAGCTTAAACGTCTTGACGTCCTTCAACGCTACCTCCCCATTGATTGTCTGGTATATTGGTGACTTTTTACGATTGCCCTGATTTACGTGCAGCTCCTTCGGAATGAGAGAAAAACAAGTTAGTTTCAGGAGTATTTTCGAGAAATAAATTAATCGTTTTTTTTTACAACGTCAATCGCAAATCCGCAGCACCTGCGACGCCTCGAACTTGACGAAGCTGACGGATGCGCGAGTCGTTGACGCAGCTAGCTCGGCCGGCGGGGTTGTGGCGACATAGATCATAACAATCAGAACTTGCAAGACCAATAGAGTGTACAGCAACGCCAGCTTCCCATCTAGACGGACCTGCATGGCACCGATCCCTGCGCTCGGACAGTTTCAATTTCTCATCTTACGTTCCCGAGGAGAAATCTTGTCGGCTGTCTGAGACATCTTCGTTGAGATTACAGTCTTTTGAGTATCATCTGAGAACACAATCAGTAACTTAAATTTACATTTTTGTCAGTTTTCAATTTTATTTTTAAGAGACAAAACACTACACACCGTGCATTTCTACTTAGAGCTCACTGTAGACGATCTATAATTCGTCTTAAAATTCAGACTAGAATTATATTTATAGCTTTATGTGCCGTGCAATGCAAAGAAACAATTGATTCGGAATGCATATGCATATATAAATTATTTATTACAGTACGTACGCACTGTATATTAAAGTACACATATACACATTAAGGAAGAAATTTATTCTGGAAAAGACGCGGATTATAGATCGTCTCAAGTTGAGCACGAGAAATTCGTTGACCCCATTTCACGCGATATATCTCTCTCGTATATATATCTCATATATTTCACGTATATATCTTCCTGCTTTATCATTCACGTGATATTCTTTTTAGTCGTGTGAGCTTAGGCGGCATCGTCGCCGAGCCGCCGCTGCATTGCGGGGAAACGTAAACCGTCGGCCAATTGGATTCCGCGCGAGAGAGTTAAACGTCCCGGCAGCCTCCGCCCCGCACGCGTGTCATTGCCCACAACAATATATTGTGTAATAAAGCGTCGCTCACAATGCGGCCCCGACGACGACGACGCCTTCGACGATGATCTCACCAGGACCTCGTGACGCTCGTACGATGACGTCACCGCGGTGCAGCGTGCCATTTAACTCGCTGTGCCCGTTGTTCCCCGGGGAAACACGCCGATTCCGACAACGGGGCTTCGTCGGATCCAGGGATGCGGCGACTACGGAACGATCGACGACCGGCGACGCGCGGCACCGCGCACACCTCTAGTCCCGTCGATAGTCGCTGCCTGACTCGCTCAGGGGACTGACTGGCTGCAACGAGGGGGAACGAGGGGAGAGGGGCGCCCCCCCGAGATCCAGGTGCACCTTCTGCTTTCTCCCCCCGCCCGGCCGGGCAACGGCGCGTACCGCGACGACGTGAAAAACCACGCCCGAGCGCCGCAGCAGCCGGCAATCCCGCCCGTCGTGCTCGTCGACGAACACACACACTCTCTCTCTCTCTTTCGCCGATCGTGCGACTATTCGCAGGGCGCACGCGTCTTACGGCGGCGTCTCTCTTGCTCGTCAAACTGTATCTATGTGCGCCCACCCCCGCGTCGCGATGCATGAGTAATCCGCCGACTGCGGACGAGGCGGACCCGCCCATGAGTCAGAAACTGGATCATTAATTCAAGAGAATTAGTCAGCTAAGGCTCGAAAAACCAGTGGCTCTCTCCTCGCAGCCAAAACCGATTCTCGAGGTCCGTTTATAGTCATCATGGTTCCTCGGTTCCTCCCTCACAGTCCGTCGAGCAATGACGCTCAATTTAGCGATTTCCTTTCGGGGGCAATGCCTCGCATACGTTTCGCACATGTTTACGACTGAACTGGAAGAAAATACATATCTGCATAATAAATAAAAACACGCAAAAGAGATATAATGCATGTGGAAGCTTACATGTGTAATGATACCACTCTGTAGTTCACGTTCACATAAATAGCTATAAATGAATCTATAAATTTATAATTATATTTTACAATAATAGATTTATATATTTAATTTGTAATATGTATGAATTTACGATTATTATTATATTGGATGTTATGCAAGATCGAGGAAGGTTGAAATAGTGGCGCTTTGTTCAAGGTATCCGTCGCAGGTCTTCGTGGGCGACACGTTTTGCTACCTGTCGGGAATGACTTTCGCCGTCGTCGGTATCATAGGCCACTTCAGCAAGACGACCCTGCTGTTTTTCATCCCGCAGATAATCAATTTTCTATACAGCGTGCCGCAGCTGTTTCATCTTGTGCCGTGTCCTAGGCACAGATTACCAAAGTAAGCTTTTTTTTTATTTAAAAAATAAAAGATGATTCCATCGAATAGAGATTTCGTCGGAATACCTCATAGTATATTTTATCTGCAGGTATAATGAAAAGACAGACAAATTGACGCCTAGCAACACGGTATTTAACAAGTCGGAACTTAACGCACTTGGTATGATAATCTAATTTATCTTTTAAGGGGAAAAAATGCGCGAAATTTAGAATTGCATTTTACCTTACTAGGATGGCTATTAATGAGGATATTCAGAGCATGTAAATTGGTAAAGTGGGAAGAAGACACGGCAGGCGTTATAACTTGCAATAATCTCACTTTGATTAATTTTGTATTGATTAATACTGGCCCATTGAGAGAACCAACACTCGCGTCAATTTTGTTAATAATTCAGGTAACTTTTTTAAATAAGTATTTTTTTTAACATTTAATAATTTTAAGATATGTAAAATTAATATCTCTCTTTCAGATTATCAGTAGTATGATGGCATTTGTTATACGATATCCTTTGGCTTCCATATTTTACGATGTGTAAATAAATACAATATAGAAATATATTACAATTGATATAAATTGTATAGACAAAAATCTCGAATTTATTAGTTATTATTAGCATAATTTTTCTACTGCCCTCTCGTACTGCTAAAATTGCATTGTAAATTTTTAAAAGTCATCAAATTTTTATGATTTTAAAAACCAAAGCATATTATAAATATTTATTTTAATAATACATCATTTTCTGCACACAAGATCAAATAAAGAATAACCATAGAATAAGTTCTGTATATAAGTTTCTATTATGTAAACTTTGTATACAACTTGATTGAAAACAATTGCATAAAAAGTTTCTATAAAATTTCAATAATAAGCTGTTTGTAATATATATTTTAAGCAAAAATAATAGTAATAAATATACTTCATCCTTTAGAAATTAAAAAGATTTGTGATTATAATCACAAAATTACTTAAATGATATACAACAAATTTTAATATTTGCGCAAACACTTACAAAGCAAAATCTTACAAAGTAAACTTGAGCAATTCTAAAAATAATCGTTGAAAAACTTCAGTTGCTAACAAATATTTTAAAGCTTTGACAATAACTAATACATTATATCGCTAACTTTTTTTTGTATAGATCAAATGCAATTAGAAATAATGTGTTGTTACAAAACTTAATCTTTCAACATGAAATAATACGATACTATATAATAATGCATACTTCAGTTTTTGGGATACCCTGTATGTATATCGTGTTTAAGATTGACATGCTAACACAAAATTACTTGCAGTTTAGTAACAGTGGTCTTTTATTTTGCTTTTTAAATTTCTTAGTAATTTAGAACATAGAATTCGGGATGAGTCGAGAGGACGATCGAATGACGTCCATACCTAATCGATTCTTTATGTTAAGTTGTGTTTTTGCAGCGTCTCTCAAGCCGTATAAATGTGTCAGTTCCATGAATGTACGACATAATTCTAAAGCCTTGTCAAATAATTTTATTGCTTCCTCTATGTTCCCTCTGAAAGAAGGAAAAAAAATGGATTCAGAGACTATTTTCATTGGAATATCTTCAGATTCTTTATGCAAGTCACATGTATAATTGCAATTGACTCGTTTTGAAAATTTAAAAAAAAACATACAATTATCGGAAATAATTCCGGTAGAAACGTACCTTTGTACTTCGATACTTCCTAACGATTCATACGCAAGCTCGCATTTCTCATCCAATTCTAACGCCTTGTTTATCAATTCCACAGTTTTATCGACATTAGCATTCCACTGCAATTGCAGTAGGCCTCTATGCACGTAGACAGTTGCGTTCTCCGGGTCTTTCTCTATTGCTTTAGCAAAATAAGTATCAGCCTTTTGGTACTGCTGAGTTTCGGACATTATCTGCAATGACGGTCAATTTCATCAATGAATCAAAATGTGTACGTGTACATAATCGTGTCAATTTGTCACTTATTTCAATTTTAATTTCCAATTACTTATGTTAAAAGTTATAAGTAGTACATACCTGAGCGTACAATATATAACAATATATACATTCGGGAGGATTTGGATACTTTTCGAAAGCTCTCTCAAAATCTTTCACAGCCGCCTCGGCTAATTCTACATCTCTATTGACCATCGCGAAACGGTAATCCGTGTAACATTTTTGTACGTACGCTATGCCGAAGTTCGGATTGTATTCAACGGCCTTATCAAAATCGCGTTTAGCTTCGTCCATTCTGTTCATGAGCAAATTTACCTGAAACACGACAGAGTGGAATCGTTAGCTATATTATTACGTAACTTCGTGATATAGCGTTCACCTATACGCGATATAAGGAAAGAACGTGTTTACTATTAATATGATAATTACCTGTCCTCTGTGATGGTAGATATCGCTGTGAGTTGGATTCATACTAATGGCTAATTCAAAGTCCTTAAAGGTCATTTCGGGATTCTCGAGTTGCATGTATAAGGCCGCTCTCTTTATCAGGGCGTTTATCCTCACGTTATCGGACGCGTCTTCGTTGTTCAGTAGACTTTCGAAATCCTGGATTGCAGCGTCGTGCTCGCCCAAGAGTAAGTAAAATGTAGCTCGTAATAGTAGCACCTCTAGTCTAGACGAAGGTAACGTATCGAATTCGGGTCTTTTAATCACTTCCGTGCACAGCGGTATTATGTCGTCGTAATCCGTGTTTTTCAACGCTTCCAACGGTTTCTTCAAAAATCTGACAACAAATATTAATTACTCGTTAAAAAGTAGACGCCAAAATTAAATCGGAAATCAAGTTCATCTTCCGCCCGTACTTACTCGGGAATATTTTCTGGATGTTGAAGTCTAGAAAATACTGGATCCACGGGGAAAGATATAATGTACGTTTTGATGAAGTGCTTACTTGGCATTATGAACTTTTTGTTTGCCAAATTTTCCTGGGCGTGTTGTCTCCCTGAAAATAATTTTTATTTTTAAGTGACTAAATTTCTCTGTTCCCACTCCAGTTTGCCGTGCATAGGAGTTTTATGTAACTGGTGGTTTTATGTCCGTTTCCACCAATGTAGATTAACTTTAATTCAGGTTTAACTTACTTTGTATCTTTTTCTAGTTTTAAGAATTAGAAAAAGATAAGAAAGTAAAATAAAACCGAGATTGAAGTTAATCTACATTGGTAGAAATGGACATCAGTAACTCACCAAGTTTCTCCAAGACCTTGTCCGCCATTGAAAGGGAGGTTTGATTCGAAAAGCCTTCGTAAATACACGCGGTGGTTACGTCATCCAAGGCGGCTTCCAGCTCGTCCATTTGCTCCAAAGCACGACCCCGTCGTAGCAAAGCTTTCACATATCTTGGATTTAGTTCTAACGCTTTTGTACAGTCTGCCTTAACAGCACTATATTTTTTCTGTAATTTGCAATTAGAACTGATGTGTGAAAACAGCGAGACTTGCGTCACCTCGACTTCAACAATCAATTGAAGTCAAATTTTCAAATATTATTATCCTTAATTTGATTACCAATTGCTCGTACGCAGCCGCTCTATTTTGATAAAAAGTTGCGAGGTCCTCCGCTTTCTCCTTTGGACAAACGTCGATTGCTTTATTATATCGAGCAATAGCTTCATCATATTTTCCCATTTTGAAATATACATTTCCCGCATTCTTATATTTCTGCGCCTTTTGTAAAGGATTCTAGAACGAAAGAGTTTTGCTTAGGTCAGTCACAAAAGTATTACAGTTTATAATTTATAATATTACTCTATGAACAGAGCATTATGGGTTATTGAAGTTCCAAGATAAATATGTACTGGGAACGCCTCGATTGATCAAGAAAGTCAATTTATCATTTGCAAACTGTGCATTTTACAATCTTATTATTAACAAAGTTCAGCAGGGCTCGCAGACAATATTTACTAAAAATTATCACTCGTGATAATGGCGTCTGCGGTATGCATAATTATGGCCACCAACGGAATACAAGGGAACCGTTATAAATTTATCATTCTGATATCGTGTTCTTAGAAAATAAAAGGCACCGATAAGGAATGACGTTGATAATCGTGAATGTCCTCTTTTTTTTTTTAATTTCGAATAAATAGACTCTCTCGCGATCTATCGGGCGCTTCCAGGATATTCTAAAGACAAAAAGGCGGACGGTCTTAACCTCCGGCTCGGTCGCGGAAGAAGGCACTTTGGGTGGCCAGTCGCCGTCGATGGAGATCTGCTTGTCGGCCGGCGCGCCGTTCTCCTTGGCCGCGCCGCTCCTGAACTTGTCGCGTTCCGGCTTGTCGACGTTGCTGCTGCTCCTGTTCCTGTAGTACATGTAGCCCAGGCCCAGGGCGACCGGCGCCCCGACCACCAGGGCGAGCTGCCACTTCGGCAGCGGGCTGCTGCCGGCCACGCCGCTCGAGGCGGTCATTCCGGGAAATCGTTAAGTAAATCGCGCGCGCGGACGATCGCGACGTGACACCACCCGGCACCACCACCACCACCACCACCACCGCCGGATTCGCGACGGAGGGAGACGACCGGGGAATCTCTCACCGACGACGTAAGAGACCGCGAGGCTGCGAGAGCACGTGGGAAGGCGTAGTCCAGGCGACGATCATGCGGACGCCCACTCCTCGGAACCGCGTTTACGTGTGTCGCAGACAACCTGGACGCGAATCTCCCGACTGTCCTCGGCACTGGTCGACACCGACGTCCGACGACTCCCCGACGAGACGATATGTGACGATGTATCATTAATCGCGGATATCGCGACACGCGGCGGCAGCGTGAACTTGAAAGAGCCAGCGTGCAACAGCGCTGCCCCACGGCGAATATCGCGCGCGGCTGAAGACGAATTAGCGACTTCGATCGCTCGACTTCAATTAATTTATAGTCGATTATTAATTTATCGAGCAAGATTATCTCTGTGTTTTCTTAAACCTTTTTTGCGAATAAAATTTAAAATAATATGAAAATATTTCAAGCACTGTCACGGTAATAAAAATTTTGTCGATGATAATTATTATACTCTATATATAGATATCCAGGGCTGGGCATATTTCAAATACTTGTATTTGAAATACAATTTGTATTTTGTATTTTGTATTTCAGCGGAATACATAAAAGTATTTTGTATTTGAAATACTAAAAAAATTATTGATAAAAATTCTTGATAACCATTAAGAGTAACTTAAATTTTTCTCATATGACACTAATTATTTTCGTCAAGTTTCCAGCAATATCAAGTCATCAGAGTCAAATTTCATAATCTCACATTAGTAAATAGATTTCTCGTGTGATTGATACAGGACTGTTAAAAAATGTAAGAGAGTAAAACAATTTTTCTTTCTCTCTCTCTAAAAGTGGAGAGGGGCCTGTTGAAGCGGAGAGTTTAATATTATATATTATTGTAATTGAAAGATTAAATTAAAAAAAGTATTTTGTATTTCAAAGAAGTATTTTGTATTTCAAATAAAAACTTAAAAGTATTTTGTATTTTGTATTTCAAATTGAAAGATTGAAAGTATTTTGTATTTTGTATTTCAAATCAAAAGATTAAAAGTATTTTATATTTTGTATTTTAAATACTTTAATGGTGTATTTTGCCCAGCCCTGGTAAGTTATAGATTTTTCGTGCGGTTGATGCAGGACAATAGGACTGTTAAAGAGTGTAACAGAGTAAAACAACTTTTCTTTCTCTCTCGCTAAAAATGGAGAGAGGACTGTTGGAGGGGGGGAGTTTAACATTATACATTATTGTAAGTGAAAAGTTAAATTAAAAATTGTATTTCAAATCAAAGGATTGAAAGTATTTTGTATTTTGTAATTCAAATACTAAGATTGCCTTGATTTCGAGTATTTTATATTTTGTAATTCAAATACTAAGATTCCTAGTATTTTGTATTTTGTATTTTAAATACTTTAATGGTATATTTTGCCCAGCCCTGTAGATATCTAATATTTTGCAAATGCGAATCACAGTGTGTTATCTTTAATCTAGAGACAGCATAACACCAATCGTGGTTCGCATTTGCAAAATATTAGTGCGTTTTGAAACCTATAAATAAATAAAAAGTATCGCAACCGATCTGTCCATGACTGTATACGTGTCAAGAAATGATCAGTATATATTCCTCAATATATTGTTTATATATTAGTTTGAAAAGCTAGAATTTAATGTTAGCAATTTATTTTTATTTTTATTTTTTTGCGTTATATTTAGTACGTTCAATAGTTGACCACATTTTGCTACAAATGCAGAGGTTTGTAAAATGGATTTGCTCTCGTTGCAATATTGTTGAATAGTACAAACTCCAGGGCACGGTGAACTAATCCAAGTGAAGTACTATAAATAGTCCTTTATTATTGCAATGTGTATGACTTTCCTGAATTTATAGTACTTAAAGAAATTAAATTACATTAATTACATTAAATTACATTAATTTAATTTCATTAATTACTACACTAAATCTTTATATATGTGTATAGATACGCCGTTCGGAATTGACAATTTAAATTGTGTGTAATGAGCAACGTCGTAGCATACATAAACGATAAGAAATGCAGGAATATGGTTTCAAATCAATCGAATCGATTCTCGCCTTCTGGAATACATAAACAAAGGAATATGACAGACGTGTCTCATGACAATCAGTCTTATTTCACATGGAAAAAAAATTAAGAATCAATTATAGGGACGATAAAATTATCACAATACGTAGCTAGAAATTTTGCAGAATTTGGCGGAGAATTTGAATTTATCGCTCCGTTCAAATCCTCCATGATATCAGGCGCAATTATTTGAGGCAAAAAAAAGAGAGATCAAAATAATAATGATAAAATCCCTTTTAAAAAAAAGTCATAGCATATTACGCGAGTTTCACGACACTCGAGATTCCGCGCCGCGTTCTCCGCGCGTGCGCGCAACCACGCCGGAAAGATGGCGGCGATCTGTCAACAGCAGCTACGTTTTACGCTCGGCTGTCATGCCGTCGGGACCGCGGGAGCTCGCGCGACATGAAGGACCCCCGCTCTCGTACGCGCGAGGAATGTTGAGCGACGTTGGCCGAAGGCGTGGTGCCCGTGGACGACGATTTTAACGGACGTGTCGGAAGTATCGTTTAGCTCCGCGTTGCGTGTCTCGGGACGACGACGACGACGACGTTCGCTGTCGGATTCGGGACGACGTGAACGCCGCGATGGCCCTGCAGGAGGACGAGAACACCTGGTAAGCCGAGTTCGCCGGGCTTCGCCCCGTCTCGTCCAGGCGACGCGGCGCGAGTCGAGGTTGTCGAGAACGGGAACGCCGAGCTTGACGCTCGTCAACGATAACACGCGCCCGGATTTTCGCGTTGATTCGCGCGTGCCACGGCTCGCGATCGCGCGGCTGTACGTAAGAACGTGGAGATTGTAATCTCGCTGCGCACGTGTGCGACCGCGACGAGGCGCAGCAGATATTTTGTTAGCGAAGCCACGCGAATTACGTAATGTCGTTGTCAAGCTTTTCCTAATTAACATGCTAATTAATACGCCACGTTCGCTTGGACGGATATACTCGAATAGATTTACGTATACCCGAGTTTACATGTCCTTAATTCATACAATTTCAAGTGCAAATAGCAGTGTTTTTTTTTCTTCTATCAGCTCGCAAGTTGAATGTTGCTTTCAGGGTGCTGGAGCTGGAGGCAGCGTTGCTCGACACGGAAGCGCCGTCTGCGTCCGATATATATGCCATCTGCAAAGGCCAGTCGGTCCCGGCAAATTTGAGACCGGAGGTCTGGCTGTCCTGCCTGTACGTTGCCGATCGGGGCGATCAGTTGAGCCAGTTCAATGAAGTTTATGATTTGCCTGAGCAAAATGTAATTCGCGACGACTGTCAGCAGTTGGTCGGTGAGTACGTGAGGAGCTGCGTATCGTCTATCCCTCGTTCGCATTCTACTAACAGCTGTTGTCAAAACATTGCAGCGAAACTCGGAAACGACGACGAGGATAAGGTCTCTGTGGTCTCCGATCTCGAGTCTATATTAACGTTTTATTGCAAGAGTAAATGTAAACAGTACGAAAGGGGAAATGGGTGGCTGGAACTGTTGGGTCCTTTAATAGCTTTAAAATTGCCGCGCGCTGCAACTTACAATCTCTTCGAGGCAATAAGAGATAATTATATACCAAGGTACGAGAGAGTCGCGCAGCGACGAGCGTTATCTTTCTGTCACTTGAGTAAATATTTGTATCAGTGTCAATATAAACTCGATATTATTTACTCGACTTATTTAACCGTTCATTTTTTGTTTTCATATCTTCATTCTCTCTAGAGGTGAAACATATAGCTCAGTCTTGAGACTGCTGCTTCTCTATCATGAGCCAGAACTGTGCTCCTTCCTGGACACGAAGAGGATATCGCCCGACCAATATACGAAAGTATGGATGAACACCCTTTTCGCCGGTGTCTGTTCGTTGCCGGCGATCTGCACAATGTGGGATCTGTACTTCATGCAGTCTGATCCGTTTTTCATGCTGTTCCTCTCGCTCATCATGGTTGTGAATGCCAGGTAATAAATATCGATTAAATTGATATTTAGCTGTCGTGTATCTTTCTCGTTGCATTAACCCAATGTAATTCTCATCTTTGTAGAGAGCAAATTTTGAGCATGAGAGACGAGGACAAGCAAAGTATAATAGATGCGATAGCAGCGATGCCCTGTGCTTTGGAAGCGGAGGATGTGACCGATTTCTGTTCCTTGGCACAGTACTACGCGATGAAGACACCAACGTCTTTTAAGCAGGACTTGTATCCCGTAATGTTTGGCGAGGGCTCCGACGAGAAGCTAATCTCCCACGCGTTGTGTTTGCCCGTGTCGGCGCAGGAACTGGTAGAGAATGCCATCGAAGCTCCATCCGTACCTACTAGCACCGTAGAGGCCGTTAGATTCTTTCTCGTGGATTGTAGACCTGCCGAGCAGTACAACGCCGGCCACTTACCAACGGCGTTTCACCTCGATTGCAACCTGGTAAATTATCAGTTACGCAAAAGCATTAAAAAATTCTTTTGGATGTGTATTAAGTTTATGTGTTGAAAAAATGTATTAAAATAATGTGTATAATGCTTTACATATAAATTGCGATGGAAAAGATCAAATATATTTTTCAAAAGAAAAATAAGGAGAAATTTACTAATTTTTAATTAATTTTTTATTTGTTAAATATATTTATATATTTTTTTAGATGCTGCAGGAACCTGCCGCTTTTGCTACAGCGGTACAAGGCTTACTGCAAGCTCAGCGTCAAGCGCTAGCCGTTGGCTCGCAAGCCGGCGGAGAACATCTTTGCTTTTTGGGAAGCGGTAGACAAGAGGAGGATCGCTACACGCATATGGTAGTGGCGTCCTTTTTACAAAAACATACACAATACGTGAGCATGGTCACTTCTGGATATCAGGGTATTTATTCTCTGTTTCTGAATATTCTTTTTTTTTTTTTGACGAAGATAAATTACGTCCCCTATAATTGTGATTTCGTTTTCAGCCATTCATGAATATTTCGGCGACGAAGTGGTGTCAAGTCTCGTTGATCACAATTCGCAACATTGCCTAGTATGTAACGCTAATATGTTAGAAGAAAATTCGAACGAGGCGAGCCCGGTTAAAGTCAAAAACAACAATTCCGATCTCTTGGGCAAGATCGGACTGGCTATGAAGCTGAAGAGTCAGGAAGTAAAGGGGAAGCTGATTGATTATATCGTCAATCCTACGGCAAACGTTAATAGCAATACGGAGAAGAGAGATAGCAAAGACTTGGATTATATTAGACGTCAGAGAAAGACCGCGCCTGTGTTTAGTATAGATGATGATCAGGAGATAGGTAATTGGATCCTTCAAATTATTATCAGAAGTGACGTCGAGAGCTGTTCGAACGAAAAACTAATCTAATCTGCCCCTCTTATAGATATGACGATGACTAATAATGAAAGCGAAGAGCCTATCGAAGTAGTATCTATACAACAGTGGATGAAAGATCCTAACTTATTACATTCCTTCAAATGCCAAGAGGTGAAAGTTAATGGTGATCTCTGTGATAGGTAGGCATATAAGAAAAAACATTTTCTTTCGCGTAATCGATAAAATCGATCACGTGCGTGTATTGCTTCTCTGTTTCAGTCAACTATTGGTTACCGATAGTCAGCTTATAGTACTGCGAGAAATCCCAGAGCGAAAAGGCGCCGCGCACGTAATTGTGAAACGTCCTTTAACGAGTATCGTCAAAATAACGTCGAGGAAACGGCACGCCGATCTGATAACCTTCAAGTACGGTACGACGCAATATAACGACACGGTTATTTCCGATATGGATAAGTTTCTTATACCCAACGCGAGCGAAGCGACTAAATTAATCACGCAACAGATCATGAGACAATTAAAAACGTCAGACTAATATTACGGAGACGTGTTTTATAGAATAATTTCAGGCTGATGTACAGATGTTATAAAGTTCAATTTGTGACAAGTAGGTTTCCGAAAAAATTGATATACGCAAGTTATTTGATTTTTTTTGGTATATTATTATTTATTGAGATAATTATTTGTTTACTTTTCATTGTATTAAATATAATCGTGTAGAAATATACACTGAATACCGCGTAGAGTAATTTACAAAAACGATAAATTTTAGGATGTTAAAAATATTTCTGATTTTTAATTTCCTTATGGGAATCACAATTATATTAACAAAGATAAATTTATGTCCATGTAACTTATCCGGATGACTTTTCGTCGTTTAGATATATGTACCTAAAACTTTTTTAAATATCACAACGGTACGACTGACCTAAAAACCGATGCGTTCATAACTTTGTAAATCACGTTTATATATAATTATTAGCCAAACAAGAATTCATTAGTTCTGTAATAGAAACATCCAAGGGCCTTCGAACCTTTGTTGTGTATGACAGGTTGCATAAAATTTCCGTTAGCCAAAACTATTAGATTAGATACTGTAGAAAGAGAGAAATGTGCGCTAAGAGCTAAGAAAAAAAGAGCTGAGATGCTAATACATATGTGCCTGATTGATGCACATTGCTAATCGTTTCTTCGGTTGTGTGTTCATGCGTTGGAGAAATAAGTATTCAAGCAAAAAATCTATTATCTTCAATTGGCAAGTGGTCCTAACATGACTTTAATACATTTACTACGCGCTCGTATACATTTGCATTTTGTAGACCGCCATACTGCAATGTTTTCATAGGAAAAAATTTATTTATACAAATTACGTAAGTGGGATATTAGGTGCAATATTTGCAGGCAAATAGTACCTTTCTGCTCCTCCTGAATTTTTCAGAATTACTTTAGGTATTCTACATTAGAAGGAAGTACTTTAAGACAAGCTTTATAATTATTACCAATCAAATCTTTAGTAAAATATAAATATTATTATAATACATTTTCTATTTCTTTGCGAAACTTTGTGCTTACAAGAAACATATATTTTTTTTATAACATCAATAGCAAGGTATCCCTGAAACTTTCAAGCGAATAAAATCCCCAAGTTTTGTTTCAGGAACACTTTGTACCTTTTAGATTTCCGATTTATTTGTGTAATAAGTTTTAGTAATTATATAATATTGCATATTACTTGCCTCGTTAGAATCAATTTAAAAATTTTGATGATAACCTTAATATAATAAATATAAATTTCTTGTAGCTGCGTGACATATACACGACGGGTTGAGAGTACGGAATTTTTTACTTTTACTTACACACATTTACACATAGATTAATTAAATTAATTGAAATGAACAATTTTAATATCTGAGAAAGCTTAGAAAGCTGGAAAATGTACATATGTGTTGCTGACAATACTGTCAACACTGATTATTGCGTGCAACATATATATATATAGTTTTTAAGTCATCATACATATAATATACAATAATACACATCGTACTTATGTGATAAAACTTTCATGTATGTGCTTCCGAACGGACGAAGATAAGATGTAAATGGGTCATACATTAGGGACAGCAATAGAAAATTAATTTTTAAGAGATTAAACGTATTGAAATTCTCTCGAAAAGTCTCAAATACGTGTTTATAGGTGTGTATATAAAAAAAAAGGCCATGTATAATATAATACAGAAATAATATATAATAAAAAGTTAACAACAAAGTAATTTGACCTTGTACATTAAATTCCTTCGTCAAATTGAACTATTGAAAACTTTTATCGTTAATATCAATGTTATAAATAGTTTAGTATAATTTTTAAAAAACTGTGTGAAATTGTATATATAAATATTGTACGTATATTTTTTTTGCATAGATTAGAGATGGTTAGCGAATATTGGTTAATTTACAGACCGATATCATATCACTACTGATATGCTATCACTGGCATTATATTCAACGTTAAATACGTTAGATAAAAAAAATTTAATTTTGGAATTATACATTGTAAAAATTTCTCGCTTTGATTTCTTTCGATTTTGCAAAAGTGTGCGATCAATCGCACGGCATAGAGCAACGTCGAAAAATTCAGTTTAGAGAAAAAAAATCGGTGACTAGTTTTACAAGTTAATAACCGGTACGTACATTTATTTATGTCATTCCACCGTTCTGCAGCAAGAGCAATAAATATATATATATTTTTTATTATAAAGATAAATACATACACAATAATAGAATTTACGGCGTGCCGTGGCGCATATACGGTATATATGCATGCATATGTATGTACATTTATTAGCGCACACATGCGCAAAGAGTGTGTTGATATGTATATAGCAGTATCAGCCAGTATCCGGCCTCTGCCAGTGCGCGCTGACGTGCGTACGTACCGGGGAGAAGGAATGACCGTCAAGCACGATGATACACCGAAATTGTTCAAGCTGAAGCGGCCAGGAAAAGCCGAAGGATGGGAGGGATAAACTGGAGCGAATTGTTTCCAGGGAGATGGAGTCCTGTCATCTTCATCTCCTACATAGCTCTCTTCGTGAACCAAGGTATGTACGAGTACCTTGATCATATGTTCGTATAGGCAATTTTCATCTCTCTCGTTGTGACATAAAAAAGGAGTATAAGAAACGAGTGGGAAAAATGATGCGTAAATTTTGTATCAGTCAATGCGAAATCTTCATGAACGTATATATATATATATATCAGAACACGTAATAACTCTACATACTGTATATTCAGGTATTCTGGTGACATGGTCTCAGAGAAGCGGCCGCTACGAATATAATATTGTGGCGGTTGTGCTGATGACAGAGGTTCTGAAATTGATCATATCCACAGCGCTCTACTGCAGAGAGTAAGTAAAGAACAATTCGCAGTTTGCTGTGTACAGCTGGCCGAATCGATCCTGCCGATCGCGGTGTTAAATTGACTCGTCTCAATTTCCAGCAATAGCATCCTGACGCTTCTCCAGGAGACGAGGAAGAACAAAAAGGGTGAGATTAGAAACAGCTGAGATAAAGAATCCCGGAAACTCGATACTCGTATATAGACGTCCGCGGCGTGATCGAAAAATGTAAAGAGCATCGAAGAAAACTTCTGTTTTTTTTTAGTGCTTCTGCTGTACATGATACCCGCGCTTTTGTACTGCCTCTACAACAATCTGGCGTTTGTCAATTTGGCCAGATTCGACCCCACGACTTACTACGTCCTGCTGCAACTGCGCGTTGTACTTACGGGAATCATTTTCCAGGTAATGTACCGTTGTCCTTCGACAAGTATATATATATATATATATATATATAGGAGCAGGACGTGCTGAGAACGGGTATGATGTAATAATTCCGATTTCTCCTCAGATCATTTTTAACAAAAAGTTGTCGGCGACGCAATGGTTTTCCCTAGTGATCCTGACTGTCGGCTGCATGATAAAGCACTTTGACGCTCACGTCCTTGGCACGGAATTCCACGCAGATATTTTTCTACTTCTGATTCTTGTACAGGTGAGTCATCCCGGCTGTCGTACTCGTGTGTCAATATTATACCCGCATAAGCGCGGAGACACGGTGTATTGTTCTCTGAAAAACTCACATGTATGCCTTCTGCTTTTACAGACGACATGCTCCTGCTTGGCTGGTGTGTATAACGAGTACCTGCTGAAACGGCAGGGCGCGGACATTGACATTTTTATACAGAACGTATTTATGTACATCGACAGTATTTTCTGCAACGTCATAGCGATCGTCCTGTTGACCGTGTTCGCGAACGGCGCGAGCAAGATGCCGAGTGACGTCGAGATCGGTGCGTTTCTGCAGCCGAAGGTGATTCTGATCATGCTGAACAATTCGCTCGTCGGGATAATAACGAGCTTCTTCCTGAAGACCCTGAACTCCATACTGAAGACCTTCGCCAGCGCGGTGGAGCTGGTCTTCACGGCGGTGCTGTGCTGGATTCTATTCAGCATACCCATTAGCGCGAACACCATCGTCTCCATAGCCATGGTCAGCCTCGCCGTGATTTTATATTCGAAGAATCCCGTGCAGAACGCCCAGCCCAAAGAGACGGCGGAAAGTGGGAAGCTTCTAGTGTAAACGACACAGTATTATTATTTTCTAAATGGTGACATATAATTGCGGTCGCAAACCAAATGAAAATTGTAAAACAAAGCGTGTCGCTGACGCATGTTACCATTTTAGCGCTGTTTTTACAAATATTTTATTGCGCGACGATGACTATATATGTGATATAAAGTTGTTAATTTAAGGCAATGACTGAATTACGCTTGTGAATAAAAAGTCTCGCAGTTTCTCTTAAAAAAATCGATAAAAAAATTACGTAGATTTATAATGTAATCCGATGATAATCTCTGTTGTCTAATTCAACGAATCGCGAGGACTTCGACCTAATTTACACATATTTCTTAAGAGTATTCGTTAAAAAACTGAATGAATTAAAATCCGGATAAGCAATACTTTGAGATATCTTATCGATTTCTAGTAAAGCATTCTGTTGCGTTTAAATTAAAAAACTGAATGAATTAAAATCCGGATGAGCAATACTTTGAGAGATATCTTATCGATTTCTAGTAAAGCATTCTATTGCGTTTAAATTAAAAAACTGAATGAATTAAAATCCGGATGAGCAATACTTTGAGAGATATCTTATCGATTTCTAGTAAAGCATTCTATTACGTTTAAATTATATATCTAATCTCCTGATTAAAAAAAAAACCATTTCACAAAAATTGAAGGAAGACGTCGATCACGTACAGTTGGACTTCAATTTCTGATTTCTGCGAATATCTTTTATATAAAAACTTCGATATCAGCTGGATAAGGAGAGATCGTTTCGAGCTTTTGGATTTTTTTTTCGATATCACTTGCTCGTGAAAATCAGCCCTAACGATCTCGCAAAACGACTCGTGATATCGCTTCAATCGAGAGATTCGTCGTGGCCAACAATAATAGAGACTATTGGCAGATGTATAACGTTCATTATTGGTTCGCCCCGTGCGCGCAGTGTCGCGGCTCCGAATTTAAAACCCATTAACCAATTGCGCCCTCCCTCGCCCCGCCGTCCTCGCGTACGCGCGTCCCTCTTCCTCCAAAGTGTGCACCGTCCCTTCCCCGCGCGACGCTACTCACTCGTCCCACCACTTTCTATTATATCTATTCGCAGAAACCGAGCTAGAAAAACTATCTGTAAAGATCCTCGGAAGTTCACTGTCAAGGAGGAGGAAGGGGAGGGAGAGAGACGACCGCTCGTCTCTCTCCGTCCGTCTCGACTCGTGTCGCGCACGTGTGCGTGCGTGCCCGCGCGCGCGCGCGCGCGCGCGTGTGTGTGTGTGTGTGTGTGTGTGTGTGTGTGTGCGCGCACGATATGACAGATCGCGTGTAATGACGTCGTGGGCGTGTGTGTGACACATGTGCGGTGTGTGCCGCGGCGGCGTTCTGCGTTCTCCCGCGGATCCCGACGACGATCCTCTCCTCTCGCGGAATCTCACCCTCCTCTCCACGGGGCAGCGGCGCTGCCGATCACGTCGTTCGGCTGTTCCTCTATTTTTTTTTTTTTTCCTTTTCCTTTTCCTTCGCTCTCCACGCCGATCAGACGCGGCGATCCAGCGGCAGCGCCGAGTGCAGTGCCGAGTGCTAATGAACGTTCGTTAATGCGCGGCGGGCCCGCGCCAACGCACGAGCGATAACGTCGCGTCGGATTGCATCGCCGTGCACGGAACGCCGGACGTGACCCGGTCCCTCTCTCTCTACCTACCTACCTGTCTGTCTCTTCTTTTCGATCATGGGTAAATTCTCGGCATGTTCCCGCAAAGTTCACGCTTTCCTGCCAACGGCCTGCGAAGGCGTGACCTTTGCGTGAACATGCCGAGACTTTACAGAGGACCCGACGGAGGCGCAGAAGTGGCAGCAACATCTCACCCTACTGCGGGAGCAGTATGTCAATTTGTACAACGCGAACGCGGAGCTGCAGCGGGAGTACGCCGTTGCCACGGCCGAGAAGCAGGAGGGCGGATTCGTCGGCAGGCTCCTGGCGACAGTGGCATCCCTGTACTGTCAGCACCGTTACAGGTATCTTCTCCCCTGGCGCGTAATAACCTGGAAAACTTCCAGGCTACTCCCCTTTGTAACAACAACAACATTGGAACTAGAAAGTCTAATTCTGAATTAACTCGTCTGTTTTCAGTGATATAAGTGTAAAACTGATCGACCAAGAGGTACCGGCGCATAAATTCGTGCTGTCAGCCAGGACCGATTTCTTCAGCGACGCGGCCCTCGCCGACAAGACTGTTTTAGGTTAGAAAGGATTTTGTAATTCATTTGTTTACGTTCCTCCTCCTCCTCTTCTTCGTGAGTTCTTTTCAGCTTGTGAGCCGGCTGCGCCAGTTCAGAGTTTATCGTTCCCCTTTCCAATGTGGAAGGAGAAAGATAAACTGTGAACTGGCGCAGCCTGTTCAGCTCGAAAAGGAACAACGACCGCTTTCAGATTGGAGCGATTTGAGCAGCGCGGTCGCGTTGGTGCTGCTGAAATGGATTTACACGGGCAAAGTGTCCCAGGAGCACCTGACGTTGGATCTGATGAAAGCGGCGGCCGGTTTCCAGCTGTCCGAGCTGGTGGATCAGTGCGAGAGGTATCTGATCGGGACGGTGGAGCTGAAGAATTGCGTGGGATTGTACTCGGCCGCCGAGGAGCTGGGCACTCTGAAACTGAAGGAGCACTGCAGCTCCTTGATCTCGGCGCACTGGGTAAGATCGCAAGCGCAAGCGAGTTAACGCTAGTGATGTTATGTCTAAAGTGCCGACGATATATATCTTACAGGAAGATCTGACGGGCGAGGATTTCAAGGAGATGCCAGGTTCTCTGCTGTACAAGTTGCTGCAGACCAAGAGTAAATATCCCTTGCACGCGGCGGTACGCTTGATGCGCGAGGACGTCGTGTTTCTGTACTTGGTGGAACACAACGCCGAGGTGAGCTTTCTTCTTCCTCTTGCGATTCCCATTGAAAGGTCAAACGTGACACGTGCGTGTTGAAATAACTTTTATTGAGGTAATTTAAATCAGTTATTGCGATACATAATTATTTGCATAATAATTCGTACAATATGTATGAACGTAATACGAAAATATTGTACTGCTAAAGTACAGGGATTTAATGTTATAATTTGTTCATCGTTAAATATCTTAAATGTGGTAATATCATTATTAACAATTTACATGTTCACAGCTCTAGTTTGAATATAAGTACTTCCATGTACAAAAAGATAAATGATAGTTTTGGTAGTTTGTGGCAGTGCTTACATACAAATATCAGCAGATAAAATATTTCTTACTACAAATGAGGACAGATCTCTCAAAAGTATCTTCGTTTTAATTTCCTACAGTTCTTCACATTATTAAAAGCTTTGATATTATGCGATAATTTTAAACATCAAATTTACATTAAGGATTAGCAATACATGCATTTTTATGCTTTGATGTGTATTTGTACTTTTTTTGCATGTGGAAAGTATTTCAGTTATTTTATTTAACAAGATAATTTAAGACTGACTAGGAAAGATTTTTTTGTTTTCATTTAAAAACATTCCGAAATAAATTCTATTGTAAATGTAGAAATAGATTCACAAATTACAAAATTAAATTATTTAATGTAATGAAAAAAGTTAGTTGGTCATTCGTAAGATTTAGTTAGCTAGGCCTCAATGTACATTTTTGTATTGTACAACACAATATTTGCACTCTGTGATGGAGAATCTCTGCGCGTTAACAAGAGAAACTTACTTGCGTACGAAACTTTCGTACAAATTGCACTTTCTTTCGAGTAACACATCATAAACTGTGAAGCTTTACAGCAATCTTACGATCAGCAACAGTAATACTGTCCCGTACGCTTTGTTAAACGTCCCCCCGATTTTCGGGGGGGACGAATTGCACAGGTGAAAACTACAGAAACAGTATTCGGGTGGGCCGGTAGGCGCGCCCCTGTGTTCCCCAATGAAGCAACCCTCGTCGTAAGCGGACGTTATGATCTCCTCCTTTTTATACCACTGATTATCGACGTCGTTGTAAATTTGAGAGGTGTACTTCTGCGGCGCGCAATCTCGTTGAACAGTAGTCACTACAGACGCTGAAAGAAGGAATTCGTAAATAAACGTCCGCGCCGTTTAGTTTACGCTTCGGTAACACTTGCGGCAGTGTTGGTTGCCTACTTTTAGATTTGTACTCAACGGTTCTCTTCATACAAAGCGTCGAGGTCGGGCAGAATACCTGGAATTTGGCACTCCCATCGAAATGGGAACAAAGTAGATCCGTGTGGTTCGGATTCATAATTGTCATGTGACACTTGAAACACGAAATACCCTCCGCCTCTACTCGTGAAACGTCTATAAATATTTTTCAAGGCGTTAATCTAATGTTGTCTCTGTCTTTCTCTCTCTCTCGCTTTCGCTTTACGCATCGATTAATATAAAAAGAAACGTACGCGACAGAATACTGATACATAATATCATAATCTGCAGACTTGGCTTAAAGTTATACATTTTATTCGCAGTATCATTCGTATCCCGACAAGGAGTAATTAAATCAGTAGTGAGGTATTTACTCGATCATCTTATCATCAGTAACAATCATAGAATCTGAAACAATATTTAAATTACGTTTATATTAACATTAAAATGCAATTTTCATTCCTTTCTCTTCAAGATTAGGATTTCACCCACCACTTAAAAAAAAAAAAAGAAGATATCGTCCAGATGTTTCACCTGAATACCCTTGCCGTTTACCAGGAAAGTTAAGAAGTCACGGCAGATCGCTAGATAATCGATCTCTCACTCTCTCTCTCTCTCTCTTTCTCAATTGTTGACAGATCTCCCGTTAAAGACGTTCGTTATTGGAGAGCGCTATAGATTTCACCGCTGGACAGTTTCTTCGTTGTCCACGCGAGGTTTCCAAATCGGGACTTTCCGGTCTCATTATCCTCTTAATTAACGTGCAACTGGCATATCGACGCGTTCGCCGTTAAATAGAGCGGCCGGGCGAAGCGCTGGTGCCCACCTACCACAGGGCCTCGCCGTTCGCATAACGCATATCGTAATGACTTCTCTCGCGACACGTACCACGATACACCGCGGACCCGCCTGGCGCGGATCGCATCGGAAACGCAGTGGAACAACGACTGGTCGACTTGTGGTCGACGGCCGATTGCGGTCGGTTGGGCGTACCGCCGACCACGTCATCCGCCTCGGCGGTGCCTATTCCCTCACAGCAGTGTATATCAGAAAATAATCTCCATACTTCCTCCACTTTTTCGCGCTGACCCGATATCGTCCGTGCCATTCCAGCGCATGCACGGACACAAACACACACACACACACACACACAACATACACACACACACATACATATACTTGCACGTGTGAGCACACTCATCGCGTTGATAGCCAGTGGCTCTCAAATCTATGTTTCTTCTACAACTGTTGTTTTTAACATTTATTTTATTTAACTCGAGACGCTACTTTTAGATGTACGTTCATTCGAAATGCAAACAATACTTAATTATTACCTCATTTTTTTTTTAAATAGATTTTTATTATAAGATATTATTGTTGTGTACAGTAAGATTTGTGTAATAAAAATGCTTTTTAGCAATAATATGCAACTTGTAAGCTTTGAAATTTAAGCAAAGTAAATGGGATGGATCTTGGGATGAATCTTCTGCTTCTTAATAATAATAATAACGTTGCGATTATTTATTTGTTAGCTTCCGAAGGCGGTCAACGCTGTGGATCACAAGGGTGAAACGGCTCTGGAAGTTGCCCTGAAAACTCGCCAGCCATCCCTGGCGCGCACCCTGGTTGAGCACGGAGCGGATCTGAGCGCGAAGGACGCAAAGGGTCTTTCTCTCCTTCATTCGGCTATCTTGAAGGGAGACTCCTACTCGTCCGAGTTCATAATCGAGCAGCTGGAGAACAACGGCAGCGTGCAGAAGTTGTGCGAGGCTGTGAAAATTAATGACGGCGCGAAGAATGCGGCCGAGCTTAAGCAACTGGAAGGCTGCACTGCCTTGCATCTGGTGGCGAAGCACAATACGGAAAACATGCTGGCGGTTGGATCGAGATTACTTCAAGCGGGAATCAATCCGAATTTACAGGACCACAGAGGATGGTAAGTTTGTATGTTCTATCAATTTTTTTCCTTGAAAAAATTTTTACATTAAAACACATTATTTCTTTGAATATAGAAGCAAAATGATTGTTTGATAGAAGTTGAAATAGAATTCATTAGTTTTTATAATTAAATATATCAATTTTTTCCGTTAAAAAAATGTTTACATTAAAAAAACTCTTACATTATTGCTTTGAATGTAGAAGCTGAATGATTGTTTGACAGAATTTGAAATAGAATTCGTTAGCTTTTATAATTAAATATATCAATTTTTTCCTTTAAAAAATTTTAACATTAAAACTCACATTATTGCTTTGAATGTAGAAGCTAAATGATTGTTTGATAGAATTTGAAATAGAATTCGTTAACTTTTATAATTAAATATATCAATTTTTTTCTTTAAAAAATTTTTACATTAAAACTCACATTATTGCCTTGAATGTAAAAGCTAAATGATTGTTTGATAGAATTTGAAATAGAATTCGTTAGCTTGTATAATTAAATATATCAATTTTTTCCTTTAAAAAAATTTTTTTATTAAAACTCACATTATTGCTTTGAATGTAGAAGCTAAATGATTGTTTGATAGAATTTGAAATAGAATTCATTAGTTTTTATAATTAAATATATCAATTTTTTCCTTTAAAAAAATTTTTACATTAAAACTCACATTATTGCCTCGAATGTAAAAGCTAAATGATTGTTTGATGGAATTTGAAATAGAATTCGTTAGCTTTTATAATTAAATATATCAAGTTAAGATTTTTCATCCTCTGCTTTTTTTTTAACAGGACTGCGCTTCACAGCTGTATCTCGGAGAATAACGAGATGCTGTTCGATTTGTTGCTCGAGGCAAAGTCTATAGACGTAGATCAAACCACGAACGAGGATGACACGCCGCTGTGTTTTGCGATGAAGACGGAACCTTTCAACGAGTACTTTGCATCGAAACTGCTGGCCAAGGGCGCTCTACCGAATCCAACGTACGACGCCACCGGGAACACATTGCTCCATGTCCTGACGCGAGAGCGTAGAGAAGGGGCGGCGTTATTCCTGGTGGAATATTGTAGTAATAATTTATCGAAGACCAACGACGAAGGCTTCACGATATTGCACGAGGCGTGCAGGGTCGGCTTAAAGGATCTGACACGTGCTCTGCTGAGGAACGGGCTGCCGACCGATCTCGTTACCCTCTCCACCGGCGACGCGCCAATTCACTTTGCCATTTCGAATTTGTACACCGACATAGTCGTCGAGCTGTTGGACGCCACGAGCGTGGATTCGCAGTTGGTTATTAAGAACCACGCGAACGAGACACCTCTGAGCCTGGCTATAAAGGCACCGTTCAAGAAGGGCAAAGACATCGTGCTGGCACTGATAAAAGCTGGGGCCAACGTGAACGAGCGCAACGATGAAGGCCTGACGTTACTGCACCAAGCGATACTGAAGGAGGACTCGGCTACGGCGATATTTCTCTTGGAAAACGGTGCCGACATGAACGCAAAGTGAGTTTAATTAAAATTTACTGAAATTAAAGCATCAAAACTTTACAGAAATCTACTTGCAATCGCAGTCTCAATTGTTGTTAACAATTGTATTTTGGTGTGCGCACAGAACAGCCAATGGAGAAACGCCGTTACAACTGTGCGTGCATTGTAGACTGGGCGAAGTGGTGGAAGCTCTTTGCAGACGGGGCGTAGACACTTCAATAGGATGCCCGTTGTGGGATGCTCTGGATTCCGATCAAGAAGATACCGCGTCAATCTTGGTTAAACACGGAGCGGACACCGATTGTTGGGGCACGGGCCCCGATGGCTGTCAGCAAACGTTGTTGCACAGAGCGATTGACGATAACAAGGAGGACATCGCACAGTTTCTGATAAGAAGGTGCGCGCAAATTTTCCAGTCGAAAAGAATGGAAAACAAGAAGCGAGAGAAGTTTAGTATAGCAAAGAGAAAAATTATTAAAAACCATTGCAGATACTTATATATTGTACTTGTAATTCATGGCGGAGATAAAATTCGATTTACCACAAAACGAGAAGTTATTTAAAATATTTCAAACATTGTGTTTTACTCTTTTTTTTTTTTTAATGACGATTCAATATATCGCAGCGGATGCGACTTGAATGCTCCGAGACGGCCTGGTCCAGACGGCGCTGGCGGAGACGAGGCGAAAGACGAGTGCACGCCGTTACATTTGTGTTGCCAATGGGGACTCGAGCAAGTCGTTCAAACGCTCATCGAGCACGGAGCCGATGTGAATGCCCGCGACGCGGAGGGGAAGACACCCGTTCACGTGGCGATACAGAATCAGCATTCGCAGATCATTTCTCTTCTGCTGTGCCATCCAAATATAGATCTGAATAAGAGAGATAAGAAGGGACTTACGCCTTTCGCGACCGCCCTGACGGTTCGCAACAACAAAGCCGCGCAAGCGATATTAGAGAGATTACCCAAGGCCGCCGAGCAATACGACAATAAAGGCAGGAACTTCTTGCATACTGCCATACAGAAGGGCGACATGGAGAGCATTCTATTTTTACTGTCGATACAAGTACGGCATTCAATTTACGTGAATCAAATTGATCGTATGTAAACAGCCACGGTATCTGCAGCCGATCCGTTCCTCTCTTTTCAGGTGGACGTGAATTCGAGAATACACGACGTTACGCAAACGCCTCCTCTACACCTTGCCGCCCTGTCGGGGAACGAGATGCTGGTGCGAAGTTTGATTCTGGCGGGTGCTCGCGTCAACGACACGGATGCGAACAGGAACACCGCGCTGCACGTGGCGGCCAAAGCGGGACATGCCACTGTCGTTTCTGCGCTATTGCAAGTAAGACAGAAATTATCTCGTACGCTAAGTATCGAAATCAACAATATTCTAATCTCGAAATAAAAAAATCAGCAATGTTCTAATCTCGAAATAAAAAATCAGCAATGTTCTAGTCTTGAAATAAAAAAATCAACAATGTTCTAATATCTCGATATACATATATCGCGACGATCTCTCAAGTCCCCGTTTGTCGTTGCATAGAATAACATTAACTTCGACGCGGTAAACGCGGATGGCGATAACGCGTTGCACGTGGCTGTAAGAGAGGGACACGTGTCGGTGGTGCGTGCGTTGTTGACCGAGTGTACGCTGGACGCGGAGGCGGTGAATCTCAAGGGTCGTAATCCTCTACACGAGCTGGCCAGATGCGCGAGGGACAACGCCGCGACGATATGCGACCTGTTCTTAGAATGCATGTCGCAATATCCGGTCAATAATGCAGGTGAGAAAATAACAATTGACAAAGTTATTTTGATAGACGATTGAAATTATATATTCCGAGGGACATCGCAGTTTCTCTTAGCTAAACCGTGTATTATACGTGTCTACTACAGGAGTTTGTATTTCAGACTTGGATGGAAACACGCCGTTGTTGATCGCATACATGAAGGGCAATGGCAATCTTTGCAGAACGCTAGTGAAGGCCGGTGCGTGCCTGGGTTCGATGAATAAGGACGGAATAACGATCTTCAACTATCAAGTGGCGACGAAGCAGCTGTTGTACAGACTGTTAGACTCCCTGACGCAAGAAGCGCCTTGGTCCGACAAGGATTGCTGCTTAGAGTGCGGAACGAAGTTCTCTCTCACAATGCGCAAGCATCATTGGTATTCGTCCAATCGTTTCAATAATAATAAAAATTAAACGTGTTAAGTGTGTATCTAATTTTTCCTCTTTTTTTTCAGCCGGCACTGCGGACGAATTTTGTGCAGCAAGTGTTCCGGTCAGGATGTACCGATCTTGAAATTCGGCTTGAACAAGCCGGTACGCGTGTGCAACGTATGCTTCGACGTACTGCTGGGTACCGGTTCCCTTCAACCGTCATAGTTGAAATAAGAATTTATATACGCGATGGACAGAGAGAGAGAGAGAGAGAGAGAGATCATTCCAACGTTTTTCTTTTTATATGAAGAAAGAATTAAGCAGATATACGAACTGAACTGAAAGTCTGTGTGTAATTGTACGTCATTATTGATATTTTATGTATCCTATTGTATACACATTGTTCAAATTTGTTAAAAATATCTCATAGAGTTGAAATACAGATGAGGAAGAGATATCGCGTGTCGTTGACATTTCCACACACTTCTGTAATAATTTAATCTTTTATTGCTAGCATTTGATTATATATGTACAACGCCTGAAATTTTTAGCTTTAACATTGCGAACAACAGCTTGGCTCGTTGTTTGGAGATATAATTGTGCAATTACTTAAGTTTACTGAACAGAGTCTTTGCGACGCAGTGATCTACGCATTGCACATAATCGATAATCTCCTCCAGACAGGTTTCCTCCGTGTGGGATCTCGAGTTAACACGGTCGTTGCACGTGTCCAGCTTCTCTTTGAAGGCGATGCACTTCTTCTCTTGATTGCATTCCGCCTGCAAAAGAAATCGGATGTGAATTAAAATGGCATGAAGTAAACATTGGATTATCACGAAAAACTTGCTTAATATCAATTAATAAATAATCGCGTAAACAGCGACTTGAATTTGGGTCGAGAAGTGAATCTCAATACGCTTGTTTTATCTCAGGGAAATTATATATGATTTTGTCGAGACTCGTATTCTCTTCCGGCTTTTAATTATTAAGTTGCCATTTTTAAAAACCATACCGGCATCTCGGAGAAAATTTTTTTATCCCGGTTAAAAATTTCTGCAAAACCTTGCCAAACGCGAGATCACAGAGTGCACATCAGCCCATGATCGTGGCTTAAATTTTATCGTGCACGTCCGTACCTCGAAAAATCGTGGCGGCGTTTGTGCACGCATTCGAAAGGCAAAACATTATGTAACGATTGTCACTTACACGAAGAACCGTTTGCGGATCCACCAGGTCCTGTTCCTGCTCCTCCTCTCCCTCGTCGGCCTTGACCACCGGCAGATAACGCTTGAAGAAATCCTGTATGTTCGACATTTCTTCAATTGAGATCTAATTTCGTGGATAGTCGGCTGCCTCCTTCTTTCCTTCCCCTGCGGATTTCGGATCCTTAGGTTAGGATTCAAATATCACGGGTCGGCTGCCTTCAAAGTTTCTCCCGAAGGAGCTCCGCAACCAGAGAGAAGCACACTAGCGCCAATTTCTTCCACTTTTAAGATGGAACTACGTAGCACCGCCATGTTCTGATCTGTCGATAAAATCATAGGCAGAGAGAATGAAAGTGCTTCACTTAAAGCCGGTATCAGACTACGCATTTGAGATTAAGATTGAGATTGAAGATTGTCCAATCACATTATAGATTGTGATCTGCATTGCAATTGACAATATTGCTGCGTTCAGCAAACAAAGTAGCTCGGTTTATATACATATTTGCATGTATTATTAAGATAATTTACTAAATT